TATTGACGAAGCTGCTGCCTCCTTCCATTTATCCATTTTGCATGAGTGCATTCAGCCACAGGCAGGCAGGATACCCACCAGCTAAAGTAGGTGAAACATGTAGATCAGAGCCACGCACTTAGTCCACTGTTGTCCAATGCAAATGTATTCTTCTTATGAGAGTCTCACTTCATCCTTATTGCTGTCCTCATCCATGCCTCAGTTTGCCTCCTTCTGTTCTGTGCTTCAGCAGAGTGCCACATGATTCAGTTCTCTTAGCACATTTTTCCTGCTTGGTTCATTTAATTACTACTGTCTGTCTAATACATTTCTCAGCATTGTTTGCATCTATAAGCACAACCACAATGCTGACAGCGGAAGTTATCCCTACTTTTAACAGGTCGCCAGCAGTGAAGCCTTTGGCATAAAGCCCTGTAATGTAAGCTGCCTCAGCTTAGTGGAAGCATAAACCAATCAAGTGGGTGAAGGTCTATTCCAAGAACAACCTGCTCTGATTATCAGAGAGAAGGATCAAGGGAGGAACAAGGGGAAGGATGGTGTTAATGTAACTCAGTGAGGCATTAATGCAAGCATGCTAATGAGAAAACATCAATCTAGTTAGCAGAGATGTATACTGTGCTAAATGGTCACACAGGGCCAAGGTTCTCTCTTCATCTATAAGGAGAGTAGGACAACTACAGTAAGTCAATGGAAAATTCTGAAAAAAGTCACCATGTCATGAGGGAATAAAAGGAATTTAGAAAAATAACACACACACAAACTAGTTTGAACTTGGTTCAGACATGACAACTCTACTGCTAGACAACTGCATGAGAGATTATTTCCCTTTCTAAGGTTTCTCAAGTTACTCTAACATTTTTCAGAACATGTAAAAGTGATAAAATATATATATAACAAAACTCCCTGAATAAATAAAGCAATGCAGTTTTGAAAGTTAATTGTATTACTAAGGGAAAAACAGTATACACAAAATAACTACCCCCTTAACTTTGTAGCTACTTATTCTCCCTCTGCATCAGCAATAGCTATAATGTTTTTGTGATAATGTGTCTTGACTGTTGAGGACATTTTTAGAGGTTGACTTGCTTGATTGAATTGGATTATTGAATCTGGTGCATAACCTAAAGGTAATATACAGTATCTCAAGGTACAACTAGTGGTTGGATGCTTTTTAAAAAAAGATTCTTAGACAGAATAATTAATGTTTCAAACATTTATATTAAGTATTCCAAATTTTTAAGCAGCAAAATAGCCAGATCATTACTTTACCACCACCGTTTTGACTGTTAACATGATTTTTTTTTTTTTAAGATTTAATAGAATGTTTTAACCCAAACCCAGTACAAATATAAAACTATTAAATCAACAATGTAACCAAAAAGACAACGGTTTTAGGAATAAAAACAAAACAAGGAAGATGCAGTTAAATAAAACTATTTTTGGCAACCATCTATTTGTAATGGAAAATCTTTAGACTGGTGAGATACTCATAAATCATATATTAAGAAAAATAAACTTTTCAGATGCTTAGGGAGCCGTAATCTTTTTAATATTTAGTTGTACAGATATTTATTGATCTTAGTTGCTGCACAAGGGTAGCAAGTGCTCACGTCAAACTTAGTCAGTGACTTGAAAATTTTTTATGACTATACTATACCTTGCTGTTTAACGCTCAAGCAAACAGCCAGATTTACAATTTTGTGAAGAGAGCAAATTTTAAAGAAAGTATAGGCAATACAATCCAAATCTAAGCAAAATTTACTTATTAATTGTAATTTCCTTTCATTTTGAGGAAAGAACAATATTCCTTTATTAAAGTATAGCAGTTTTAATAACTCTTAGCAGGAGATAAACAGATGAGCATCCATTCATTATCAAAATGTATGCAGCTTGTTTTTTGTATTAATGCATGCTGTAGCACAGTCCTTTTGCTAACGCAAAACTTACCAAGAAAAAACCTCGAAAACCTCAAACTCAACGCTATTCCTGACATTTTGAATTAGAAAAGCTTCCTGGATAACTTCCTGGAAACTTCCTGGAAGTGGAAACAAAGTCCAGTGGATTGTTTTTATTTTATTTTTTTGGAATGACTATGACCTGGAGGACTGAGAACGTTCACCAGCAAAACTGACCAGGCTACTTCCAAGATGGTTTCTTGACTATTAGAAAATGTTTTGAAAAAAATCTGTTTCTACCGTCATATGATGCAAATTCTTTTTAAATAATGTAATAAAATATGAGGGTAAAATCTGCATACTATACAAACTTAACTTTGCAACAGGCTTCATTTATTACAGCTTGTTTTTAGCTGGACTTTGAGATTATAATTGGAATTTTAGGGGGATATAGTTGGATTAATGGTGCACTCTGGTTCCTAATGGTGATAGAACTGAACAGGACTGTTCTGATGATCTACGGTTGTTAGATGTTACTGGAATGCCATTTGCTCACGCAGCAGATCATTTCTACTTTCCCATTTGTGCTGACCTTAAAAAAACGAGCTTGCTGATACCATTATGTTTAGATTTATTACTAATTTAAATGTCACACTAATGCACTTACCTCCAGCCTATAAAAGCAAGGACAACAACAAGTGAAGTAGAACAAAATCTATTTCACCACATTTATTCCCAACGTTTATAAGGCTACCTACTTGGAGAATGGATATGTCATCGTTATAAATATTCTGCTAAATTATGACCAATGAAAGGATGTATACAATGATTAGAATGAAAATTAACATAGCTATCAATAATACCTAGCACTGCATGGCACTATACAAATCATTTTTATCTTTTTACAGTAATATTTTGTTTGAAAGTTTTACAATAAAAACATATATTTCAACTGAAAAGACAAACCCAACAAAATAAATATACCAAACCAAAAGCAAAAACAGAAAAAAGGCTATCAAGAAGACATGAAATACAACAATGATGTAACAGGGATGATGTGGAGCTGTGTTAAAATTATTCAAGTCTGGGAATAATGATTAGTGTAGTTTAGATAGACTACAGATTCAATAAGTTTCCTTATAAGAGAGTTGATGTTAGAGGGTCAAATTTCTACTTGTTTTTTGATTGATTGATGACTTTAGCAAAATTAATTTTGTTCCATGTGCAAAGCAAGGCTATAATAATGCTGGAGGAGTGTAAACATAAGAGTCATTGGAAAATTAAGTGTCTACATTTATAATGGGCAAAACATGTGTATTATCTTTATTAAGAGATGGTGTCATAAATCAAAACCAAGTTGTGGATATAGGGGAAGGCAAAATAGTGTGTTTTCCTATTTTTAAAAGCCTTAGAAATAGTAGGATGCATACTTTTAAGTACCCTTTACTTGGACAGCAAAAAAAAAAAAAAAAAATAATAAAATAAAATCCATTTTCCTCAGACATCAACTAATTAGTAGTTTAAATGTTGATAATTTAATCTTAGTATAAAGCCAGCCATTCTGTGAGGCTAGGAAAGATTTGTTAGAAAACAATAAACAGGTCATTGAATTTGAGTTAAACAGCAAAGAGGTTGCTGATACAGATCTGGAGAAGTTTAAAACACAGACTGTTTATAAAGCATTATCCCTAATTTGAAATATCTCAGAGATCACTGTTTATTTTATCAGCCATAAAGCAGAAACAGATTTGCCCACCAAGCATTGACCAAACTCTAGAGGAGCTGCAGAGGCCAACAGCTCAGGTGGGAGAACCTATTGACAGGACACATTTAGTCATGCTTATGGGGCCTTTGTAGAAGACCAAAAAAAAGGAAAGCCATATGAAGTTCCTTTTTATTCTGACTAAAACCATTAAAGCTACTGTAGAAAAATGTGCATGAATTAGGGTAAACGTATTATCCATCAAAGTGAAGTATAGTGGGGGCTAGAAATGGCCATCGTTTGAATTGAACAATCCCAGTTCTTTGTTCTAAATATGGTTTGTATCGATTCTTGATTCTTTAGAGAGGAAGGAATGATTATCAAAGTTTATACGTTTTGAATTATGTTGACAACCATAGTTCTTTCTGGATTAAATAGTCCAAACTCCTTCATGAATTTTAATCACTGAACTTTTAACTTTGCATAATCATTGCAATAAATCGCCACATGGTTGTTTCTTAGAAGGCATATAAATACTATACCTATGAGCTCTGATATAAATCATGTGAATTTTCTTTTCCAGGTTTACACTTTCACATTGAGAGTTCATTTGAAACCATTAAAACACAGTTGCACATATCCAGTTTCTGATGCTGCAGGTACATATGCTGGACAAAACAGTTTTATTATTTCATTTACCCTATTCTGACTGTGCTATGATATAAGAGAGGGGCAGACTCCCTCAGGGAACCTAGTTTAGCACAAAACAAGGCTCTCATCCTCAATCTGACGGTGCACAGGTACAATATAATCCCATTGCAAGTGCTGCAGGTACTTGCAATGGGAATTGAAAATGTCTGATTTGAAAGATCCATGGAGAATTGAAAGGTTAGAATTGGTTCAAAGGTTTTTCATGTTCAAAAGTATTTTGAAAATGTTTTTTTTCTCAATGGCAACTTTGTGCAGATCAAATAGAATCAAAATAAGTTTTTCCTTTTTTTCTAGTAATGGTTTTAAAAAAATCAATTTCAGGTTGAAGTTATAAGAGAGACAATAAAATAATGCAAATTATTGTAGGTGACAATTATTATAGGACCAATAAGATATTAAACAAAAGGTAACGTACAGTTATAGAGGAAAATTTATCTTTTTCCAGAAACCAAAACATATGATAAAAATAGTGTTGCTGCCCCCTAGCGGCATCTACTGCAAACTCTTTTTGGGGGGGTTGCATCTCCTCCAAAATAGGTCTAAACATGTTCATGCAGGGAGTCATAAAAATATTTTAGAAAACAGAAGTAATGACAACCACAGACTCCAATTAATAAAGGTAAAACATATCGCTTTTATTCTGAAAGGTCAAAGCCAGCGTCACTACCGTATTTCATAGTGTGTGCGTGACCTACAAAACCCCAGCAAGAGCTGGCGTGGCAGCTGTTTTGGAAGTTAAGGTTAACTGGCGCTCAACCGTTTTCACTTCTTTATTAAATATGCGGGCACGGAAGGACATAAGATAAACTTCAGTCAGTCGCATCTCAAGGTTCTTTAGTACTCAAAAACACTCCAAACTACATCAGAAACAGCTGGAAGTGAAACCACAGATGCTCCTTCCTCATTTCCTTATTTTAGCGCATTTTTCAACAACATGCAAGAGCATCCTGTTTAATGTGGTGCTGTGAAGGTCTGAAGTTTGGCTGTTATAAACTGAGACAAAGAACAACTGCTGGTAAGTATTTACAGTCAGCAGTGATTCCAATTTGTTGTATTTGTTTGATAAATTTTTCATTCTGACAGTTTTGACAGCCAATGCTCTACATTTTCAGAGAGAATGTGGAAATCACACTTGACACTGATTTTATTATTTTTGGTAGACAGAAAAGAGAACTTGTTTTTAAACAGAATTGATCTGAAAGGAAATAGATTTTTCGTGGCTGCATACAAATTGATCCTCATTGTAAAATACCTTAAGCGCTCCTTTGTATGAGGTAACATTGTAAATCTTATTTATATCAGTTTGTGTTTCTCAATGCACCTAGACTATTATCACATTGCAGTTTATATTTTTTTCTTTTTCAGATCAATTCTAAGAGACGTCTTTTAGAAATGCTGCAGATGCATCAATCCTTTTACCCAGCATGGGTCATTCCTGTATACATCATTATTGCTGTGAGTCCACATCAATGCATGGCTACCTGCAATGTGCAAGATGGCAGAGCTGACTGCAGTCATCTCAGGCTGAGCTCAATCCCTCAGGATCTTCCCAGCAACATCACCAGCCTGGACATGTCTCATAACATAATGACAGCGGCTCTCCCAGAGTCATTAAAACGATACTCAGGACTTTTGCACCTAGACATCAGTTACAACAGCATCAAGAACCTGGATGTGGACTTGTGCAGGAACTTGCCTCAACTGCTTATGCTAAACTTGATGCATAACGAAGTGCGTTTGCTGAAAAAAGAAGATTTAAGCCACTGCTGCAAACTAACATGGCTGAATATGGCCAGCAACAGGTTAAAGCTCCAAGGGGAACCCTTCTCCTTACTGAAGGTACTGTACATCTATATTTTGTCAGATAACTAATAGAAAATAGGTAAAATAAAGTAAAAGTCACTATATGAAATTAATTTGAAACACACACACATAACTGATCTAACGATATATTTCTAGGTATTGGTTCAGTTCATTTCTATTAGAACTGGTTAAGCTTACAGTATATGAGCCCAAACCTGATTGTCAAGAAAATGTCAGAAGGAAGTAAATCTTGCTGCTATTAAAACAAACTGGTTTTCCTCAATACCTACAGTAAGCAGAGCCTTGGGCTGACACATTATGCATTGATTTAGTAACTTGTGCATAACAAAAAACCCTGACTAAGTATTAATTGCGGTACTATGCACTGCACTGTACAGTACATAGATACCTTGTGGTTTAAATTTTTATTTTTTTGCATTGGCCTGTGTAATTTTCAAATTTTGGGAGGCAATTGACTTATTAAACATAATCAACAAAAGTAAATAAACAAATGAAATCTCCCCTCGGTGTAGACATCCCGTTCCTTATTTTGTCACAGGGCATGTTTTTCCTACAAAATGATAGATTGTAGTAAGATGTTTATACTGCCCGAACCACGGCTGGCCTCACCATCTAAGGCAGTGCCCTGCAGGGAAGCCCATGTCAGCTGGAATTTAATTCTTTTGATCATGACATAGATGAAGGTAGGAATCCAGAATAACTGGTTATTTGAGAGCTTTGCCTTTTGGTTTAACTCTTAACCCCCGCTATATACAGTTGAAATAAATCTCTCTCTTGAGTAATGCTGGGTATTTTTGCCAAAGTCCTGAATCGATTCAATTTTGATTAATACAGTTTGATTCATTTTTAATCGATCTGTTTTTACAATCATGAAAGTGGTTCAACTGTGTGTCAGAATACTCATGTATTTAATTTTTTCCTGTCACATTAAACACAAAGTGCAAACTTGTAAATCAGACAGTTTAAGCTTGAGAAGTGAACAAAACTTTCTCATAAGTGCAAACGTGTTTGTGAAAAGTGAAAAAGTGAATCCGCAATCGTGAGACAGCGGAGACACAGCAGACATCCATGATCTGCATTATGTTCACGGCACAAACCATATTTGCAGCGTTGTCTGTAACAGCTACAGGGTGCTTGCTGGTCAGCCCCCAATTGTTAATGCCTTCAGTCCACCTATTGGCTATATTTCCAGCTGTCTGGCTTGAAGTAATCTTGAGTGCATCTTTCCTGCTCATTTGAATGTGAACGTCACGCGCATCACTATAAAAATAATCAATCCCTTTCCTTAGACATCGATCCTGCAAAAATGTAAAGTAATCGATTTAAAATCGAATTAATCGTTTTTTGTTTTTTTTTACCCAGCCCTACTCTTGAGCCTCTATTTTTAATACAATGAATGTTGCCCTGCGATGGACTGGCGACCTGTCCAGGGTGTAGCCCACCTCTCGCCCATAGACAGCTGGCATCAGCACCCCTCGTGATCCCAGCAGGGAGAAGCACTACCAAAAATGGATGGATTATCTTACATTCTCTTATTAAGAACCTTTATTAACTTTATACTGTTAGACTATCCTTGGTATTGTGTTAAAGTTATTGTGTTAAAGGGACATTTTTTTTTAAGTAGATAGAAAATCGTTTAAAAAAAAAATCTCTGATCCCTCCTTCTCTCTTTTGAACTTCAACTCTGAATGCATAAAGTAAAGAATGCCTCATAGTACTATTTTGTTAGGCAATATGACCTTGTTTGTTAGAGTTGTTAGAACCTTTTTTGTCATTAAATTCATGAAGATCATGCAAGAAGCTCCAGGTGCCAACCAGATTATAGTCTTTAATATTTTTTTCTATTATTGTCAAAGGATAGTCATGTCTACAGTATATACAATACTGGAGATGATTAGAGATGTCTTAAAAGATTGTTTTAAGTTAGGGCTGCGTTAAAATAAATTGCAATGATCAGAGGTGGGTAGTAAGCACTAGATTTACTATATTAGATTTACTTAATTAGCTTTTTGTCAAATATATACTTCTAGGAGAAGTTTTACTGCAATATACCTTTTACTTAAGTAATAGTTTGATACGATTTTACCTCTCTTACTCAAGTCAAATGTTTGGTCACTCCATCTATCATCAGTAACTTTACTTAGTAATTAAAAAACTTATTTAAAAAAATGCTGCACTTAGACATGCAGTTAATGTTTATGTCAAAATGAGTGGGGATTTTTTTGTATATTAGCTTAATTTAACCTACAATTATGTTTCAAGCTATTAAATACACAGTGTACAAATATGTAAATGTAATCGGTTTATTTTCTCAGTTACACTATTTAAATGTTTTAATTATTCTATGGTAATCTTTCAAATATCAGAATTTATACATAACTCTACATTTTGGTATGTTTTTATTTTCAATATCAGATGTAATGATAAGTGAATTTGTACGTGAGTTGCCTTTTTAACCAAATACTTTTTAAATCTTACTTGAATACTTTTTTGGATGGTCAATTTTTACTTTTACTTGAGAAAAATAGAATAAAGTATTGTTATTCTTGCTTGAGTAATTTTTTTGGGTACCCTCCTACTTCTGATTGTGATACAGAAATCTCCTGGTGGCTATTATTCAGTTTCACTTCTCCTTTTTTCACTAACAGAGCCTGAAATATCTTGATGTCTCTATGAACAAACTGCAGTCAGCAATGCTTGGCACGACCCCTCAGCTGCCCAGCCTGGAAACTCTCAATCTTGGATACAATGATTTCACCACTTTGAAGACAAACGACTTTTCTTTCCTGAGGGATTCACCTTTTCTGCAAAAAGTCAGCCTGATATCGTCTATGTCCTTAGAAAATGTAAGTTGGTTAACCAGCAAAGAAAACTGAAATATTGTTGTGAGTGTTTGGAACTTGTAAATGTAGCATTACCTGAATTTCAGTTATCTGTTTTGTTTCCTGTTTTCTGTTTCATTGTAACATTTCTGTGTTTTGTTTTTTTTCCAGTTGGAGTCTGGTTGCTTTAAGCCAATTTCAGGCCTTCGTGTGTTGTCCCTTGATGAAAGTCGTAAGGGCAGCTTGTTCATTTCCGCTCTCTGTACGGAGCTATCTGGAACAGCAATTGATTTCCTGTCTCTTAGAAAAATTTCGCTGCTGAAGCTTACCAGCCAAACCTTTTCAGGATTGAAGGAAACAAACCTTACCTTTCTGGATCTTTCGTCCAATAGCTTAAGCAAAATTGAAGATGGCTCCTTTCAATGGCTGTCTAGACTTCAGACTCTAAATTTGACAGATCATAACATTGGGCACCTAACAAATGGAACCTTTCAAGGCCTTAATATGTTGAAAACACTACTGCTGTTGAAAAAGAAAGATCAGAAATCCCATCTCCTTGTCGATGATTTCTCCTTCCAACCACTAAGCAATCTTGAGAGCCTAATATTGCAGAACACTGCTTTGGTCAAAATCTCAGAGAATACTTTCAAAGGCCTGACTCGTTTAAAAAAGCTTGATTTGAGCTGGAATCCTCAAACAGAACGACAGCTCGCAGATAAGACCTTCGTCTCTCTTTGTGATTCACAGCTTAAAACATTGAATCTAAATGGAATTGCTTCGGCTGGCATCAAACCTGGGAGCTTTTCCTGTCTTAAAAATCTCTCTTTTCTTTTTCTAGATCGTAACTTTATTCGGCAAACATTCCTTGGCAAAGAATTTGAAGGTCTTTCTCATTTACAAGAGCTTCACATAAGCAATAATACTCAGGCCATTTATCTAACCCCTGAGTCATTTGTAGGGGTGCCCAATCTTAGAGTGCTGACCCTGGCGAAGAGTCTAACAGCCGAAACCTTGAACCAGGATTCCTCTCCATTTCGTCCATTGTCCAATCTCACTGAATTGGATCTAAGCAACAACAACATTGCAAACATCAGACAGAATATGTTAGAGGGGCTTGAGAACCTCCGGGTACTAAAGCTCCAACACAACAACTTAGTTAGGTTGTGGAAGCAGGCTAACCTTGGTGGACCTGTTCTGTTTCTCAAACATACATGGAGGCTGGAACACTTTACCATAGATTCCAATGGAATGGATGAGATTCCAATTGAGGCTTTCAGGAATCTGACCCACCTCAGGGAGCTTAGCTTGAGCAACAATCTATTAAACAATTTTCAAGACTCTGTTTTCGATGATCTTACGTCGCTTGAAGTTTTACGTCTGGAGAAGAATTTTATCACTTCTGTCAGACCAGAAGTGTTTAGAACTCCCATGCACAACCTCAGCCTCCTTGTCATGGGTAAAAACACCTTTGATTGCACCTGTGAAAGCATCCTGTGGTTTGTCACATGGTTGAATACCACTAATGCTACTATTCCAAATCTCAGAGACCAGTATATATGTAACACCCCACCGCTTTACTTTAATCGCTCCATTATGGACTTTGACCCTCTCTCTTGCAAAGACATGACCCCATTTCAGGTGCTTTACATACTAACCAGCACAGCTGTTTTATTGCTGATGTGCAGTGCCTTTATTTATCGATTCCATGGCTGGAGGATTCAGTTTTACTGGAACATAATGATCAATCGCATATTAGGGTTAAGTGATGCCAGACTGGGGGAGGGCAGAGAGTTTGAGTATGATGCATATGTCATCCATGCTGAGGAAGATGCCCGCTGGGTGGAGAGACGATTGGTCCCTTTAGAAGACAAAGACTGCCAATTTTTTTTGGAGAATCGAGATTCTGTCAGTGGCATGTCCCAGCTTGAGTCCATCGTGAATAATATGAGAAGATCAAGGAAAATCTTGTTTGTGGTGACCGAGAGTCTTCTCAAGGATCCCTGGTGTAGACGGTAAATCAAACACACTCTTCATTTACTACATTACTACATTTAAATACATTAATTACAGAAAGAGGTAATATGAAGTCATGCACATGACAGTATTCTTTAGTTACTTTAATAACTCAAGAAAGCAAAGCACTATTCTATAGTTTTGTTCTCTCACTTCATGATAGCTGACCCCAGCATGTTTAGATCGGCGCTTGGTTGGGTCATTGCTAACTTCTACAGAACTTTCAATGATTACCAAAAATAGGTGTTTTTAATTTGCTGCTTGTTTAGGCACATTTTTAAGTTGTAATTAAATTTAGAACAACAGAATCAACCTGCTTATTTTACTATTTTATTATTTATATATAAACCAATTCATTATTTTGTGTGATATTATTTAAGTCTCATTTACTATACACATTAATTGACTTCTAATAAGGCTCTTGAATTTTTTCACCATGTTAATATTTGTTTTTATTTCTTCTTATTTAGATTTAAAGTCCACCATGCACTACACCAGGTCATTGAAGCCAGCAGGGACTCGGTTGTCCTAATCTTCCTGCAGGACGTGCATGACTATAAGTTGTCGCACTCACTTTTCCTCCGTAGAGGCATGTTGCATCAAAGTTGCATCCTGAACTGGCCTCCACAAAAGGAGAGGATCCCAGCCTTTTACCAGAAGCTTCTTATTGCCCTTGGAATGACGAATCGACTGCAGGAGTGACCTTTTTTTTTATAATTTTTTTTTATTTGCCATTCTTTTTCTTTTTTTCCTCTTCCCTTGCTTTGTAAATAGTCTGCTTACCCCTTGCTCACACTGGCTCCGGTGCAGTTACCGAGCCGACGGAGACCGCAACTCCCGCACACCCCCTCTCACACCGCCCTTTTGACTACGGTGCGGTGCGGCTCTGCGGCTCCGGCAACAGGTCCGGAGATTTAACAGAAGTTCACTTGAGTTCACGTAACTTCACGCGATAACACGGCCCAAATAAAGGATTTTTGCGAGAGCTTGTTGCGGAGGGCTCCGGCACGCCGCAAGGATAGCTTTCTTGCGGAATTTTCTGCAGCGCCGGAGTGTCTCGGTAACCGCAGCCGGACAGCTCAGCAGCCGGTGAGAGAGGTTTACGTCTTTTTAATGACTTGGAATCACTGCGGCGCCGCACCCACCGCACCTCAACGGTAAGACCGGAGTCGGTGTGAGCCGATTGAGAGACATCTAAAGAACTATTTTTTATCTACTTGTAAAGAGTGACTTAATATGACTAAATTGCACTATGGCATCCCAGAATGTAGACAGGCTACATCTTGGAGGACAAGCAGAGAGCATAACTATGATGATTTATGGAGGGAATGTTTCTTTTTGTCTATGGTTAGATCCATACTAGATGCCAAAGAAGAGGTATAATCTGAGTTATACCGCGTTGTGTTACCAGTTATTTGATACATCTATGTTGTTAAACTCTTTTCTCAATTCTACATTTATTTGGAAAATGATGGGCATGGTATGTTTTATGTAAAATTTCCCATTTTCATTTTAGTATGATCAGTAGCCCTTCATTAATGTGTTAACTGTCTTTCTATACTGTAGCACATTTAATACAGCTCTCTCTCGATAGATAGATAGATAGATAGATAGATAGATAGATAGATAGATAGAGCTATAAAGGTTACATGGAGCACCATAAACAAGTGGCTGGAATAGTGTACGGGAACGTCTGTAGTATGGGCTGGAAACCCCAAGGTCAAAGTGGGGAACATCTCCAAAGACGTTAGAAAATGACTGAGCCAAGATGCTGTGGGACTTGCTGATACAGACAGACTGAATGGTGATGGCAAACCAACCAGACATTGTGGTGGTGGACAAAAAGCAGAGGAAAGCCATTGTGGTTGGTATAGCAATACCAAGTGAATGCAACATCAGGAAAAAGGAAAATGAGAAACCAGAGAAATACCAGGGGCTCAGAGAAGAGCTGGAAAAACCTGGAAAGTCAAGGCATCAGTGGTGCCCGTGGTCATTGGGGCACTTGGGACAGTGCCCCCAAACTTGAGAAGTGGTTAAAGCAGATCCTTGGAAATACATCAGACAGTGCATTAAAAGTGCAGTTCTAGAAAAAAAAAGGCGTAAACCGGAGGGAGAGTTTATATGAAGAGTTTATATATATATATACACTCACCGGCCACTTTATTAGGTACACCATGCTAGTAACGGGTTGGACCCCCTTTTGCCTTCAGAACTGCCTCAATTCTTCGTGGCATAGATTCAACAAGGTGCTGGAAGCATTCCTCAGGGAGTTTGGTCCATATTGACATGATGGCATCACACAGTTGCCGCAGATTTGTCGGCTGCACATCCATGATGCGAATCTCCCGTTCCACCACATCCCAAAGATGCTCTATTGGATTGAGATCTGGTGACTGTGGAGGCCATTTGATTACAGTAAACTCATTGTCATGTTCAAGAAACCAGTCTGAGATGATTCCAGCTTTATGACATGGCGCATTATCCTGCTGAAAGTAGCCATCAGAAGTTGGGTACATTGTGGTCATAAAGGGATGGACATGGTCAGCAACAATACTCAGGTAGGCTGTGGCGTTGCAAAGATGCTCAATTGGTACCAAGGGGCCCAAAGAGTGCCAAGAAAATATTCCCCACACCATGACACCACCACCACCAGCCTGAACCGTTGATACAAGGCAGGATGGATCCATGCTTTCATGTTGTAGACGCCAAATTCTGAACCTACCATCCGAATGTTGCAGCAGAAATCGAGACTCATCAGACCTGGCAACGTTTTTCCAATCTTCTATTGTCCAATTTCGATGAGTTTGTGCAAATTGTAGCCTCAGTTTCCTGTTCTTAGCTGAAAGGAGTGGCACCCGGTGTGGTCTTCTGCTGCTGTAGCCCATCTGCCTCAAAGTTCGACGTACTGTGCGTTCAGAGATGCTCTTCTGCCCACCCTGGTTGTAACAGGTGGTTATTTGAGTCACTGTTGCCCTTCTATCAGCTCGAACCAGTCTGGCCATTCTCCTCTGACCTCTGGCATCAACAAGGCATTTCCGCCCACAGAACTGCCGCTCACTAGATGTTTTTTCTTTTTCGGACCATTCTCTGTAAACCCTATAGATGGTTGTGCATGAAAATCCCAGTAGATCAGCAGTTTCTGAAATACTCAGACCAGCCCTTCTGGCACCAACAATCATGCCACGTTCAAAGTCACTCAAATCACCTTTCTTCCCCATACTGATGCTCGGTTTGAACTGCAGGAGATTGTCTTGACCATGTCTACATGCCTAAATGCACTGAGTTGCCGCCATGTGATTGGCTGCTTAGAAATGAAGTGTTAACGAGCAGTTGGGCAGGTGTACCTAATAAAGTGGCCGGTGAGTGTAAATATATATATATATATATATATATCTATATATATATATATATATATATATATATATATGTACGTTTATGTATATTCATATTATTGCTTTTGCAATATAATTGCAATAAAAAAAGATGCAAATTTCAAATAGCAGAGGAACTCCATTTTAGTCACAATCCAGTCTTCACTGCAGCCCTTTAGGCAGTGCACTTAAAGTAGGTTTGCCACCACGCAGAAAGGTAGAGTTGCAGCTAGCATGCAGATCCATGCATGTGAGTAGAAATAAGCACCTTTTCACAAAAAGGTTACAGTACAGATCTACAACAATGGACTCTGGAGAAGCAAGCTTTTAAACTTACAAATAAAATAAAAACATCGACATGCTTGTGGTTAGTGAAAAGGAAAATCGAAATGGAATTACAATGCAGGTTAAAAGTTGCAATTTTCATTTTTTGGCAAAATCGTTCAGCCCTAATTCATAAACAACACAAAGTGAGGATAGTGACAATAAAAGAACCTCATCGATGGGAGTTGCAGTAAAAACCAGTGCAATTTTTATTTATTTATTTTAACAAAGTCTTAAAAATGCTCCATGTCTGGGCTTTTCTAATATTTAAATTAATACATTTCCTGAGTCTCGGCGCAGCCACAGCAAATAGTTCATGACCTCTAGTTTTCAGCCAAGATCTTGGCACAACCAAAAGAAATTGATTTTTTGATCTTGTTGATTAAGCTGGAACATGGACCTTAAAAGGCTCAGATATATCGATTGGAGCTAACCAATGCAAAGATAAAAAATAAAATATAAAAACATTAATAAAATGTAAAAACAGATCATGTAGCCGACTGGAAGCCAGTGCAGTGAAGCCAGCACAGGAGTTATCTGATTACCCTTAACCTGTTTCTAACTCTAGCATCAGTCTAGTTGTTTCCAAACTGCACAGTATCCTACTGCTGTATTATGACAAATTCCACTAACAGACTTACCAGATATGACTATTGTAAAGGTTATACATTTTTTTTAGTAAAGTCTTTATGCTGAATACCAAGAAATAATAATACATGAGTTTAAAAAGTTGAGTGTGAGCAAAGGAATATCATTCCATGACAGAGGAGTAAATGGTAACTCTAAACAAATATGTTTTTAAGTGTAATTAAACAAAAAACTGAATGGCGCAGAGGATCTTAGGAGTCTAGAGAGTTAATGCAACAAAATGAAATCTGATATACAATATTTTGGCGCTTGAGCTTTCTTTAAGATGTATTTTAAAGTCTATTTTCTAAGTCTGAAACATTGTTTTTGTTTTAACTTAAATTAGTACATTAGCCTTCTGAAAAACTGTTTTTTTTTATAGCCAGAGTAAGAGCTCTTTTTTTTTTTTTTACAGTGTTCTGTGTGGCAATAAGGCAATAAGAATAATTGTCTTGATGCCAAAAAGAGCCCAATAGATTTTACTTTCACAAGTACGGCTGTCGCCATAGTGTTCCGCTTGATTTATGCATATAGATAGCTTTATTATAAATCATGTAGAGAGTATTACAGATTATATGGACACTGAAATGTGAGTGGAATGGAAAGGAAAAACAGAAAAAAGGAGTAAAGATGAAAGAAAGATGAGATAAAAGGGAGATAACGATAAAACTTCTTCATTCTGCTTCATCACCTCACCACAAAGTAAGAGTTCTGAGACAGGGAGTGATTTTACACAAGGAAATGAAAAGTTAATGCTCATGTCCTAAGGACATCTTTACATGAATTTTGCAGCTCAGATGCCAGCTGAAGTTTACACTATGTAAATTTTCACCAAAATCCTGCAAATGTTGCAGTATCTGTCACCTTTCTTTGTCAGTAAGTGATATTTAAAGCAGTCAAAGCAGTCTTAGCATTGATTTAGTAGACTATAAAATGTATTAATAATTTCTTGACCATTTATTTTTATTTTATTATCTGCAAGTCAAAATAATACGGGATATATCCATGAAATCTTAAGCTCTGTGTTTAATAAATATATATATTGGAAGTCATTATTTTCTATCTCTTTTTGACGTTATGTGGTAACATGCACCTTGCATCCCAGCAATGACTATGTTGTTCTGACCTCTTGTGGTTACAATAATGTACTGCAACAATACCTGATTTAATAACAAAGCAATTTATTTTTTAAAGACTTATTGTTTGTTTCCTGTTTGATTATGAGGTAATAAAGTTAACAGCTGTCATATGACTTGTTCAATGTCTTCTGCAAGCAACATACTAAGGGCAGTCATAAATGATTAATGCTTTGACAAATGTTGTATATAAACATTAAGTATTATATTTTTTAAACAAAATATCAGAACTCTGTATTTAAAAAACTAAAGCTAGAATATAAAAAGCAAACCACTTTTTATATTTGTGGGATGTACGGTTTGGTGCCTTAGAGTATAACAAAATTGCATTCTAATGCCTGAAAAAAACATATTCCTTTCTTTTTATTGGAACAGAAATTTCTAGCTGGTTGCAGTACTACCTTTCACATGCTCAAAAGTTAAATAAAAGTAAAGCTTTAAGAAGAGTGACTGGTGATAACAAGTTATCACTAAATATACAATGCATGACCTTGAGATTCGAAAACTTGCGCTGAAAAATGTGCATGTCAGTTATATACACACATGGACAAAATTCTTTGCTTCACTCATTTAAAGAAAACAAAACCAACAAACAAAACACTCGCAATGGTCATAAAACACCTGGAGCCTGACAAAAGTAAGAATGAATAAAAAATTATCCAAAAAACAACTAATCAAAGTTAGACCATGTGTCAGTAGATTGATTTTAAAAAATCAACTCCTGAAACAGATAAAAACAATGGTACTCCTTGAAAAAAATAAATAACATGACCAAAAGAAAATGTTAATTCGATGTGTATCCACTAATTAGCAACAACTGTCTATCAGCTAGAATACTGACCCTCAAAGGCCTTACTCTGCATTCAAAATGTCCACCTCCACTCAATTTATTTCCCTAAATTAGATGCACTGTTTGAGGTTGTTAGCTGAATAAAAACACCTGTCCACCCCATATATTAAGAAAGAATCCACTACTAACATGGTCAAGACCAAAGAGCTGTCCAAAGACACTAGAAACCAAATTATACACCTCCACAAAGCTGGAAAGGGCTACGGGGAAATTGGCAAGCAGCTCGGTGTAAAAAGGTCCACTGTTGGAGCAATCATTAGAAAGTGGAAGAAGTTGAACATTATTATCAATCTCCCTCGGACTGGGGCTCCATGCAAGATCTCACCTCTTGGGGTCTCAGTGATCCCAAGGAAGGAGAAAATCAGCCCAGAACTACACCGGAGGAGCTGGTCAAGAGCAGGACCACCGTTTCCATGGTTACTGTTGGTAATACACTAAGAAATCATGATTTGAAATCATGCATGGCATGTAAGGTTCCCCTGCTTAAACCAGCACATGTCAATACCCATCGTAAGTTTGCCAATGATAATTTGGATGATCCAGAGGAGTCATGGGAGAAAGTCATGTGGTCAGATGAGACCAAATTAGAACTTTTTGGTCATAATTCCACTAATTCTACTGTTTGGAGGAAGAAGAATGATGAGTACCATCCCAAGAACGCCATCACTACTTTGAAGCATGGGGATGGTAGCATCATGCTTTGGGGGTGTTTTTCTGTACATGGGACAGGGCGACTGCACTGAATTAAGGAGGGGATGACCGGGGCCATGTATTGTTAGATTTTGGGGGGAAACTTCCTTCCCTAAGTTAGAGCATTGAAGATGGGTCGAAGCTGGGTTTTCCAAGATGACTGGACTGAAGCACTCAGCCATTATAGGGGCTGGCTCTCTAAGAAGCATATCAGGGTTCTGGCGTGTCCTAGCCAGTCTCCATCTAAGCCCAACAGAGAATATTTGAAGGGCGCTTAAACTGTCGCTGTTTCCCAGCGACAGCCCAGAAACCTAACTGATCTAGAGAAGATCTGTGTGGAGGAGTGGGCCAAAATCCCCCCTGTGGTGTGTGCAAACAAGCTAAAAAAAATACAGGAGACATTTGATCTCTTTAATTGCAAACAAAGGCTTCTGTACAGAATGTTAACATTGTTTTTCTCAGATATTTAAATACTTATTTAAAGCTGTATCACACAAATAAATAGTTAAAAAATCATACATACACCTACGATGACAATTTAAGACCCCTCCATGATTTCTAAGTGGGAGAACTTGTAAAATAGCAGGGTGTTTAAAGGCTTACTTTCCTCATTGTAGATAAAGAGAGAGAGAGAAAACAATGGTAGTCACTGCTCTGTCTGTCAACAAGGTGTATATTGCACTTAGCATGGACCAGAGGAAGGAAAGAGTTTTCTCTGGAAATTAGAAATACTTTTATAGACAAGTAAAAGCTATAAGACCATCCCCATGCAGCTTGTAGACTGTGCAGAAAAAAAATGCTGAATCTGCAGATGAGATTCTGCAGAGGCCATGATAGGTCAGTTCATCTACCTAGAAAGTACTTTGCTTTGCATGTGGCCACTGTCATGAATCTTTTCCTCCTTTAGTCTTTTGTTTTCAAGTTTTATTAATTCAATTCAATTCAGTTTATTTATATAGCACCAATTCACAACACATGTCATCTCAAGGCACTTCACCAGATCATAGAGTCAAATTGATTGAAAGTTTTCTATCTAAGGAAAGCCAGTTGATTGCATTGACTCATTGACTCAAATGCAATACCCCATTATAATAATACTTGGTTTAATTTTGGTGTTAGTTTAGTTATATGGCCATTTGTTTGTCAAACAAAATTTAACCCAAAATTCAAGACACAACCAGTAGTGCATGTGGAAAAGCATAAGTCTATATTTTTGCATGAATCGCATGAAGCACTTCCTATTTTCAGTTTAAAATAAAGGCATACTATTGTGAGAAAAGTGTTAAACCACCCAAGGTCCTGTTAAACATGAATTTTATTTGCACTGCAAATATATTACCCATAAACTATAGAACATACTAAAGGTGTGTATTCATAAAGATAAATTACACCAGGATAAGGCAATTACATATTAACCAGTCAGGTACCACATGGATCACAATGTCCTTGCTCCTAAAATAGCAATAGATAATAAGTGGGATAAAGTTCTTGATTGGTACCAGCTTGTAGCAGTGCACCATGAATGATTAATACATTTATTGCAAAATGTCTGCAAATAATGACTAGTATATTTACTTTCATGATACATTGGTGTAAATTTAACAATTGTTGTGTATGGTCTAGTATATTCTAAGGTAATAAAGCAGAAAAACCTGACCAGTCTGCCTGACAGCCAAAAACAACACAGTAAAACTGAAGAAACTTTTACCCAGTAAGCCATGGGTGCATAGGCCAAACATGGGAGGAGCAGTGACGGCAGTGCATTTGTATCATCCTATTAATATGCAGGACACATCAACAGGCTACTGCTGATTTTATAACAACTGAACAAACTGGATGTGTATGCTGTTGAAGAAAAAAAAAACATGGCAAATTTACTGGGAAGTTACAGTTTACCCTTTCTTGGAGTTAACGTTTTCATCGCAGCTCTGACCTACATTACCTACAACCTGCTGAGCAGTCATCTCCATAAATGGTTCAAGATGAAATCTATTCCTGGGACAGGTTCAGCATACCCCTTTATTGGAGATGCACTGTCGTTCAAAACCAATGCAGGAGGTAGGAAAAGCACTCTTTAATTAGCAAACTCTAACAATATTGAGAAATATAAGGTGTCTTTTTTTTTATAACAAACTCTCTTTTTGTCTTGTTTCAGAATTCTTCAATCAAATTGTTAACTTTACATATGAGTTCAGAGATGCACCATTGTTTAATATCTGGTTTGGACCAATTCCATTGGTTGTCCTGTTTCATGCTGAAACAGTTGAGGTATGTTCACAGAGAAATTCATTACACAGGTGCATCATCATGAATTACATAACCGTAAAAAAAAATTGATGCTAAAATTTAGATATTACATACCATGCCTTCCAAAAGTATTCAACCACCTTGAACTTTTGGACCTTTTGTCAAATTTCAGGGCTTCAAATATAATGATATGAAATTCAAATTTTTTTTCAAGAATCAATGACAAGTGGGACACTTTCACGAAGTAGAACGAAACTTATGGACAGTACAGTATACAGCCTTCACAGGTTTGAATACCTGTATTATACTACCTGCTTATATACCAGTAGGCACTGCAAGGGCTATTTATCACATTAAAGTGACGTGAGCGAGACAAGTTCTATTTATTTTGTTTTTTATCATGGAACAAACAAATTTCAGCCATAATGTGAACAGGCAGGATACACTCTCAAAGGTGTTTTTCATTTCAATCCAGCAGATGTCCCCCTTCAAAACTGTACAAAATCTATCCCACATTTTGTCAAGCTTTGACTAGTTGTGTCAAAGAGGTTTATTGGTTAAAATATCATCTTCAAATTTGCCATCACTATTTCTCTTCCAGGGCTAGAACTAACTACCTTAAATTAAAACTCCTACCTCCTATTCCTTGTTCCCATCCCATCATCTTTTGTCTGGGTCCACAGTAAGAACACTATCCATGGTTGAAAAGGAGTGCCTGCTGTGCTGAATCCGGAGAGCCGCCATTGTTATGGATGTCATTACGCGGCATACACATGAATGATGATGGTAAAATTTGGATTGGAGTGTCACAAAATAATGCATTTTTGCATTTTTGTTAGACTCCACAAGGTAATGTAGGGTGTGCCTATTAATCTTGCCACACAAAGGACAACCTTATAGTTCCATGCAGGTGCTAGGACTGTCAGGAGGATTAGATGCTAACTGTAAGGTCGCTACGAAGCATACTGCTTTCTGGTCCTTGCTCTTTACTGCCACCACTATTCAATTCATTTAGATAAATAATAGTTACAATGAATTGGATGCTGTGAGCCTTCAGCAGGCTATGAGAGGTTCTAACATCCATTTCAATTTAATTTGTTTATTGTTGAACAAATATGCTTAAAAAAGGAAAGAAACACAAGACCTTTGAACCAGTTTTACACTGCTGTTGTATGTTCAGTTGCAGTGGCAGCAACATTTCCTCCCAGCCTGTTCCTTATCTAAATGCGTAACATTGTCTTAATAAGTGTCTCTCAGGCCTTCTGCCCAACTTAATCATATTTCTGCAGACCATAATTGAACTCTGTTTAAGTAGAGCTCTGAGATATGGTTCATAAAGTCATTTATAGCAAATGTAGTTGATTAGTGCTACCTCTGTGATTTACAATTTCCTGTTACTCAAACTGTCTTTTGTAGAAAGTTCTGAGTAACCCCGTTCACCTCGACAAGGCTTTTCCATACAAATTCCTCCATCCTTGGCTTGGAACAGGCCTTTTAACCAGGTACAGATATTTATTTCTTTGACTTGAATAAATCTCTTTAGCAGAAAAAAAAATAATAATAATGATTTGGATGGATTGAATATGATATCAAAATAACAACACCTCATTAGCCTGATTTGAGATCCACATCGACATTGAAAAACACAAGAGACAAATTAAAAAAGCCGACCTATAAAAAAGCTAAAGATATTTGTAAATCATGTTATAAAGTCAGTTGTTTTGATCAGAAAAGTCATTGCAACTTATTTTGTTAGCTTTTGAGTAAACATTGTCTATGTTTTCAGCACTGGGAAAAAATGGAGACAACGAAGAAAGATTCTGACACCGACCTTCCATTTTTCCATCCTGACTGACTTTTTGCAAGTAATGAACGAACAGGCAGAAATTCTAGTGGAAAAGCTGGAGAAGAAAGCGGGAAAAGGTTCTTTCAACTGCTTCAATGACATCACCCTATGTGCACTGGATATTATCTGCGGTGAGTAGATGAAGCATTTAATAAATGAAAAAGCAATCAATTAATGATATCTAACAAATCATGAGATCAAGAGTAACTAATTTCCCGTATAACATTTTCAGCTTTTGGAGGTACAAACACCTTAAGTATAGATGTTTTAAAATGAGACCCCAAAACTGGCAAACCTTAAGAAGACATGAAAATTAATGGGCTTTTTCTATATCACAGTGAGTTAATTACCTGCAATAAAAAAAAAGAAATAAACAGTAGCATGCTGGACAAAGAGGGTAGGAATGCAAGGATAAATAGCTGGCACTCGTGTGGCTCTCTTTATTAAGTCAGAGGACCTGAAAATACTTTACAAATACACTTTGCAGCCCTTTGCAGACACATTTACCCAACAACATGATTATAGTAGTCTGATTTGAAATAGGCATCTTCACACAGGTTTTAAAATCTTATCTTTATATTCAATATCAAATAATACTATCATGAAATAACAGCTAACAATGCATTGTTTTTAATATTCTGAAGATATAATATTTGTCTATGAATACTATTACACTTATAATTGATAATTCCATCCATCTATTTTCCATCACGCTTATCCCAACTGGGGTTGCGAGAGGTGCTGGTGTCTATCTCCAGCGATCTACGGGTGAGAGGAACACAGGGGGTACACAGGTTGCCAGTCTATCGCAGGGCAAAACAGAGAGAAACAAACCATTCACACACACACACTCACACCTAAGGAGAATTTAGAGAAGCCAATTAACCTGACAGTCATGTTCTTGGACTCTGGGAGGAAGCCAGAGTACCTGGAGAGAAGCCATGCATGCACAGGGAGAAAATGCAAACTTCATACACATCCCCAGGCTGGGAATTGAACCCAGAACCTTCTTGCTGTAAGGTAGCAGTGCTACCAGCTGCACCAATTACCAGCCATTGATTGATAAATATAGTTATTGAATTATCCTTGCAATCAAGATCAATACACAATTAAAATATATTTAAGATGACTGTAAACTTTTAACTGGTATCAGACTTTAATAAGTGAACACTTTTAATTATCAAGTAACAATTATTACCTTAATTTATCAATGATTGTAGTCATTTAAAGCAGTTGTGACTCTTAGTTTGAATTAAGCTCTAGTAAATGTGGCCAATTACATTTTATACTATAATAATATTTCTGACTAAGCCACTGCTTAGGCACAAAAGTAACAAATAAAAAAATGGGTTTTACTTTAGTTGCACCCTCCTTGGAGGTGCAGTGGAGAGTGGGTAATAGCAGGCAGTGCACCACTGGGATCTAGGTGATGTGCTGATATCCTGTATTAATTAAACACTCCCAGGTTCCTTAATTTGTCTTTGCACTATTTTCAGGTAAAATTATGTTGAATAGTTTAGTAGAACATTTTTATTTTAATCTATTACTATTTTTTTTATATATATATATGTTTAGCGTTCATATACTGCTTAGTTATATTTTTCAATTCTATTCAAATAAAGTAAAGATATGTGTGTGTGACTTAGTGTGGTGCTGATATGTTGAAACATATCTCTATGTCTAAAACGTCTTTGCTCTTTGTTTAGAAACTGCAATGGGAAGAAAGATTTACGCACAGAGCGATTCTGAATCTGAGTATGTTAAGTGTGTATACAGGTATGCTTTTTGTTTCCTTTCAAAAAATTATATATTCAGTTGAATAATATATGTTTAGAGGGTTGAGCAACATCTTTTACCCCAAGGATGAGTGATATTGTCAGCCTGAGACAAAGGACACCTTGGTTTTGGCCTGACTTTATTTACTACTTCTTTGGTGAGGGTAAGAAGCATGACAAGACACTGAAGACCCTCCATTCTTTTACCTATAAAGTGAGTTAGCCCGTTGTAAGTGGATAGTTTAAAATAAGATGCATTTTTTAATTCATTCATGCAGAGATTGGACACTCCAACAGAAACCATAACAATCTCTATGTGCAGGTGATAAAGGAAAGGTCTGAAAACTTGTCCTACATTGAATCAGACAGCGACTCCGACTATGGCAAGAAGAAGCGACAGGCCTTTCTAGACATGCTCCTGAAGACCACAGATGAAGATGGAAACAAGTTGACCCATCAGGACATTCAAGAGGAAGTGGACACCTTTATGTTTGAGGTTGGTGGTTAGACTTATAGGTTAAAAAAAAAAGGTTTGTCACAGCAGAAAAAAAAATTAACCTACACATCTGGAAATGCATTTAACTCTAACTAATCAGTAGTCTAGTTGTAAAAAAAAAAAAAGGGGGGGGGGGGGTTTCAAGCATACATAGCCTATTTAATATAAACCTAAAGCAATATGCATGGTGTGGTTGTTACATGTCAGGTATGCTGGTCATTGACTTTGACCAAGGCAGCTTACAGTAGAACTGCAGTCGGTCCCTGGACTGGCATGGCTATCACTGCCTCTACACAGTTAGGGACTAATGTCAGCTTCATAGTCATGACAGGCCACTTCTTTGATTTTATTTATTTTGCTCAGTCTACTCGTAATCCCTCACCCCGCCAAATGTTGAAAGGGCAATATTGATGCAATTACTGTTAATATATTGTAGAAATTTTACACATTCCGTAATAAAATATCACAGGGGATGGTATGGGGGGATGGTCATTTAGGAGTGGGAAAGAATTTTTAAGACTTTTTTAAGAAGGGGGATGCCATCCCACCTCATCCCCCCTCAACTCGACTACTGGTTACCAACGCAGCTCAACAGCATTGAATTAACAGTTCAACTAAAAGAAAAAAATTAACCTACACAGTTGGAAATACATTGAACTCTTCTCTTTTTTCAGGGTCATGACACCACGGCTGCCTCCATGAACTGGGCCCTCCATCTGATTGGAAGCCATCCAGAGGTGCAACGAAAAGTTCAGCAAGAGCTGCAGGAAGTGTTTGGTAACATTGACATGGCTCATCCTTCTCTACCTCATTTAATAGCTTGATTAATATTCCAGTCCAAAGGGTTTTTACTCATCTTTATTCAGACTCTTTTGCCCTCTCATAAGTTTAACAGCTATAAAAAACCCTTTGTTTATATTTATTCAGTTCTTCTCATAAAAAACTAAATATCTGTAAGTTATCTGTAATAATGTACAATGCTTTTCATGCAAATTTTCTTCAGTTAAGGAAAGTAAACCTTTGAGGTACTGTGAATGCAAATGTTGTATCAACTCAATGAACTAAATATGCCCTGAAGTACATGAGCCTTTATTATGCTATAATTATTTCCTGTGCACTAAAGTTTCATTTTCATTCCAGTCTATAGATGCGCAGTGCTTGTAGAAACATGCTTCAGAAGACTGCCAGCTGAAGTTCTGGTGCTAGTACAAAGTACTAACTGGGAATGATGGTGGTGATAGTGGGTGGCTGTAAAGAAAATAAAATGTAGGCTCCAAAATCAAATTTGAAATTGACTAATTGATTACGTGTCATTAAACAAAAACACAGCAGGAAGTTTCTTTCCCTGCTGACCTTAACAAGGCAATTGAGTTTGTTATATGGGCATTAAAAGAAGCAAAAATAATCACTGTATCAGTATGACAGTATAAACCTTATAATACACCCAAGATTATGTAGTGTGGATGTGTATTAAAAAAAAAGCATTTACTACTCTTTCCTATTTCTTGATTACTGTGCAAAGGTGCATCAGGCCGACCCATTAACACAGAGGACCTAAAGAAACTAAAATACCTGGAATGTGTCATTAAAGAAGCTCTGCGGCTGTTTCCCTCTGTGCCCTTCTTCGCCCGAAGCCTCTGTGACGACTGCAATATTAGTAAGTTACACAAGATAAGTAACCTTACAGTAACCCCCGTAACAAGTAATCTTATTTGCAACTGTGTTAGCTGGTACTGGGTCACTTTATCATTTACCAATTCAATAAAGAAATATAAATAATAATTTTACTTTTAAGTCTATCTAAGTGGACTAAAGGTAAAAAAAGGGATCTAAGTGCCTTTTTTGTCAGCTGTCTTCATCACAACAGAGTTGCAGTGAATTGTGGCAGCAGCCCCACCCATCCATGTATCGATCTCTCTGCCTTCTCCCATCCTCATGTGTGGGACGCCAAGATACTTAAACTCCTCCACTTTAAGCAGCTGAACCACATCATATGCAAAAAGCAGGGAGAATATTCGTCCACAAACCAGACTCACTTGGGTTACCTTGGCTGCACCTAGAAATCCGACTTCATGGCGGCAATGCTGACCAACCTTCTGCTCCACTTGTACAGGGACTGGATGGCCCCCAGCAAAGAGGCCCTAACTTTATTCTATTTTTATGTCCTATTATTCACTCTAAACACACTATCACTGTGAAATAAACCTGATACCGGTACATGTAGCAAGGGAGTTAACATTATTTAATAATTTATAATTTTAATTAGATATTATATTTTGCTATTAAAAGCTTTCTTTTAGATAAATAATCCTATAATTTCAGAATTTTAGCAGCTTTAAACAAAAACAGTCACTGAATCCGGACCTAGAATCTGTACTAATGAACTTTCTACATGAGTGTTCCCCTTTATATTCAGTTTGTTCAGCCACATATTCCACGAGGTGCGTTAGACTAACAGGCAAATATGCATGAAATAAGCAGAAAGTCCTATGTAGCCTACAAAATCCTGGCTTGTAGATGCATTTTTCCTGAATAAAACAGGCACCCATTGAATTATGTTAAAAGCTGCTTCCTCTTCAGTTTGGTAGACCATATTTACTCCACTGGAAAATCAGTTAAACTAATCACTCTTTTGGATCCAAATCTATCTCGTAATAGAGATAAATTTGCAATGCAGCGTAAAAATCTGAAACAATTAGGGACAGCTGCTGATTTAAAGGTGAAACAGATTAACTGGGATATTAAACATGCAATAAATGATATCCCCAAGTTTTTAAGAAACAATACACTATGCTATAATAAAATTCAACATATCTGTTTGTCTTTTGTAGCTCAACAAGACTCAGAAATAGCTGCGCCAGCCAACCCAGAGACAGCCAGACTCACAGGACACTGACTTAAGATTAAAATATAAGAAACCTACAAGAATTAAAGCACAAATAATAAAAATCAGTGTATAAATGTTTTTTGAAACATAAGGTTCGATTTATAAACTTTGGCTGTCAATGACATATGGGACAAATTTCTAAATTAGATTTTGCTGCATGTGAAGGAGGATATTCACTGATATAGCTTAAAGGGAAGCCAGGCATTGATGGATTGATTGAAGTGAAGTTGTGTCCGTACTAGGGATGCATGATATATTGATGTTGGCATTGGTATCGGCTGTTATTCCTCATTTTTTATACATTAATGTTTTTGAGCCCTTTATAAAATAACGCACTAAAGGCAGGCATCTGTCTATAACTATAAATATCAGTGTATTGTGGTTCTCTTTTGTTCTCAACAATAGGAAAGCATTCAATAAATATATGTTTGAGCTAATTTTTGGAAAATATAAACCCTATTGAAAGCGTTTGGGTTGAATAGCTGTAGGTCCATCAGCCACTATCCTTAGAGCGTTCACACCAACATTTATAGTAAAGTTACACCCTTGCGCCAAGCATTTCCATTATACTACTGGACGGCCTACCTACCTAACTTTCTTGGTCTTCTGCTGGCAAAACTCTCTCATTCAACGGCTCTGGGATTTCTTTCTTTGAGGTATAATATGATTGGCTGGGAAAATTCACTGGATATGTAGTAACCATGTTATTCGAAGAGGGACAACAACGCTGAATGAAATTGAACTGGAAGCTACTTTGTGTTTTAATTGGAATTAAAAGATAGATGACGGGTTGGTTAAAGAGAGGGAAGGGATCGAAAAAGCTGTTACACATATAGAACATTTTCAGCAAATGAACTTTAGTAAGTTTATACTTAGCAAGTTAGAATCATAATACAGTGGATTTGTCAAAATATTGCATCTTAATGTTGTGTTCTTCTTTACCAGTTAAACAAAAAGCTATACAGCTTGGTTCCTCAGAGTTACACCTAAGAATTTATTAAAATGTAATTTTCTTATTGAAAAGAAATATATCAGACTGCAGAGGTTCTAGATATCCCCACATGAAAAATATTTCCTAAATTTAAAAATTATGCTGTGGTGATGGTAACTTAGTTTCTTTAGCATCATTATATTAGTAAACATCTTCATGTTATGTTTTCAGCAGAGCACAGACACAGAAGCAGGGACGGCTGCAGAGTTAAGTATGAAACAGACTGACTGGGATATGTAACATGCAGTAAGAGCTGTCTCAGAAATATTTTACAAGAAAATGTGATGCTATACTAAAAATGGCTCAGATCTTTTTGTCTTTTGAAATTCAACAAGACTCAGAAATAGTTGTACCAGTTAACTCAGGGAGCTGCAGAGTCAGACTCAGGTGAGGCAGAAACCTACGATAATCAAAGCAAAAACAATACAGAAGTGAGGAATGCTCTGATCTTTACATTTGAGAAACCAAGCAACCTCTTCACAGACGCATGGCCCAACACAGAAGAGCGCCCTCCTCTGGACAAGACTCCGCACTACATCTACACATTGTGGACAAATGACATTCTTTTGAGGACCAGAATGTTCACATTCTGGATAAAGAAAATAGGTGGTTTGAGAGGGGCGTGAAGGAAGCCATCTATGTGAAGAGAAAAAACAACTTAAACAGAGGTGGTGGACTCAGATTCCAGCTTCCAAAAACTTACAATTCAGTTATAGAGCTGATCCCTTCCAGATATCACCACCCCCCCCACCCCATCACAGAGGAACAAAGTACCTACCCTCTCCAGCCGGTGAACAATGCCTCCTAAACGACCGACCCTTAACAATCATAAACAGGTTTCAGGTATTACAGGAGACAATCCCCCCCTTTAACGACAATCCCACCCTTTAACGACCGACCTTCAGAATCATAGACAGGTTTCAGATATTACAGGCTAACATTGAAACCAAACGACCCACACATCGGTTGCCATTTGCATGTTTCAAAGCAATATAAGGTCTTGTCTATATAAAAACTCTAACTCACAGCGGATCCAGCCATTAATTGAAAAGCTTCCTGGAGAGGTAGTGAAACGTCTTCAAATCTTGGAAACCAAGTCCAGTGGATTATTTTTTAAACTTTTACAGAAAAACAATATAGAAAAAAAAAATCTATATATCCGTACATCACCACTGGCATTGGTAATGATTGTTATTAGTCATTTTTTAAATATATTTTTGTCTTTATTAGTGCTGCTGAGGCTTTCAAACATTTTATAAATGAGCCACTGAAAGGTAGCTGTCTACCTATCTATAAATATAAATATTAGTCCATTTTGTAACTGTTGCATTCTCAACAGTAGGAGACCATTGAAAAATGTATGGCGTTTACATATTTGTCAGGACACACTATTAACCCTGTACAAAAACACAAGGTCCTTTGGGTTCTATAGCTGTAGGAGCATCAGCCCCCAAACTTATAGAGTGTCCCTACCAGCTTCAGTCACAAAGTGACACCCTTGGTTTCAAGCTTATGTTTTGGGTGGTTTGTGAAGTTATTTGCTTCCTTAGATATAAAATAGATCCCTGATAAATAATCTCTGTCCTGAGGGCCGTTATATTTGTTTTCTGAAATCAAAAACTTTTTTTTAAAGAATATGTAATATATGTCCAATAATTCAGTCCAGGTTTGAATGGTTTATATTGTATTGAGCTTATTATACTGAATAATTATCAATTGGCTTGAGAAAAAGAACAACCCAAAAATTAAAACGGATTCTTCTATAATAATTTTTTAATGGAACAGACATTTGTTTAGTGTCCAGTTCTACCCTGATCACTGTATTTATTTTTCAAGTTTTCAATAAAAAAAAAAGTTGGCAATACCTTTTTAGTAAGGCAAAATTGATAAGCATAAAATAATGCTAAATTTAGCATTGCTAACTGAGCAGGTTATCAAGCAGTGCTTATAAAATACTTTGTTTCATCAGAATAAGAGCCACAAACATACACTGTATGTTTTCAAGCTAAACACAGTGATATTCATACTATACCCTTCAACTTTTACCTGCTTCATTGGTCTAATTCTGAAATAGACAGCAGGTGCTTTACTTCAGCAGGAAATAATTTGGAGTTTTAACATTATGAAATCTTCTTATACATTTAATAATCCGTAAATGTAATTGAGTTTTGCTTTTACTCTAGATGGTTTCAACGTCCCCAAAGGAGCAAATGCGATCATCATTACATACACTCTTCACCGTGATCCACGATACTTTCCAGAACCAGAGGAATTCCGGCCTGAGCGTTTTTTTCCTGAGAATTCACTTGGAAGGCCCCCGTATGCATATGTCCCTTTCTCTGCTGGACTCCGCAACTGCATAGGTGGGAAAAGGAAATTCTGGGGTTCAATTAATCCACATGAATACTTTATTAGAGTCATATGTGTTGTTTCAGGTCAGCGTTTTGCACTGATGGAAGAAAAAGTGGTTTTGGCGTCCATTCTGTGTAACTTCAATGTCGAGGCCTGTCAGAAACGTGAGGAAATTCGCAGAGTGGGGGACCTCATCCTGCGACCAGAGCAGGGCATTTGGATCAAACTGGAAAAGAGAGAACCACTTGCTCCATAAAATCAGCATTGGCTCAATAATTACCTTTCATTCATTCATTCATAGTTTTTGTTTTTTCAATTTTAGATAATTCAAATAGCTGAAAATGTATCAAAAGTATTACAAAAATCACAACTAGTGGAATACAAATAGCATTACTGGGTAGTTTAGCATATCTGCCTCTCATAGTATGATAATCTAAAAAAACTGCTTCGATTGCTTAAAATACATTTCTTTTGTATATTTCTACATTTTGTGGCTGAAACTGCTAATGGAATATGTGAGACTTCTGGTTATTTCATGTTGAACAAGCATTTCTTGTAATTTTGTTTGAAAATGTCTTGCATTACCAAATGTTTAAGATACAGACATGTCACAGGTGGAAGTATTTCTGAGTATTATTGGTCTGGTTTCCAGCCCTCACGTAATGCTGCATTATTACTTTTAGATAATACTTAATAATTCTTAATCAGTTGTGCAGAATTCAGTGATGATTGGGCTGGAACAGTAGAGCAATAAGCATTAGGAAGAAACTAAAATCTGTCACAGACTCGTATAGTTTCCTCTACATAAACAGAGAAAACCTCAAAAATATGAAACATATATATATACGTGTATATATACATATAGCTAATAGCTCCTCTGTTAGCCATCCCGTCATGCACAGATCGGATGCCAGTCAGTTGGGTTTTTAAGAAAAAGATTTTTGTAATGAATGGTAGAGAAAAACAAATACTCTGGTTAGCCTCCCCTCTTCACCAATAGCACAGCTGGGGGCCGAATACATTCTGTGGAATTGTCAGCCGTTCCCTAGTATTTATAGGCCAACCAGTAGGGGGCGCCAAAAACCACTCATCACAAATAACTATAAAACATATTTTAATAGAATTTAATCTACATCTTCTAATATATATATATATATATATATATATATATATATATATATATATATATATATATATATATATATATATATATACATATATATATATATACATTAATATGTAGCGCTAAAGAAGCATTGGTGCATTTGAGTATGCTAAAGAAATGTAAAAAGCTATAACACCATCCGCACACAGCTTTTAGACTGCAGAAAATAATGCTGATTTTAATTCAATTCAATTCAGTTTATTTATATAGCGCCAGTTCACAACACATGTCATCTCAAGGCACTTTATGTATCCTGTTCTGCTTACATTGCAGTGTCCATAACTCTGTAGTACTCCCTGCATGAATTATAATAGAGCTATTTACATGCATTAATCAAGCAGAACACTATGGCGATAACTGTACTACTCCAACTGTGAAAGCAAAATATGATGGGCTCTCTTTTTGGCATCAAGAAAATTACTCTTATTGCTACATCGCCAGACAGGAAACTGTAAAAAAAAAACAAAAAAAAAACATCATAACTCTGGCTGCAGCATTTTGGATCAACTGAAGGCTTTTAACTACAGTTTGTGGACTCCTGGATAGTAAAAAATTACAATTGTTCAGTCTTGAAGTAACAAATGCATGGACTAGTTTCTCAGCATCACCCCTGGACAAGATATTTCAAATTTTTGCAATATTGTGCAGATGAAAAAAGGAAATTCTGGAAGGCTCTTTGATATGGGATTTAAATGACAGGGCCTGATCAAAAGTAAAATCAAGATTATTTACTTTATTATCTAAAATCAGTTTAATCTCATCCAAATAAAGTGACTGACTAATCAGCTTCTTTTTCAAAGACTCTTGTTCAAAGACTATAACTTCTGTTTTGTCTGCATTCAACAGAAAAAGAAGCAGAAAGTTAAAAGTCATTCAGATTTTTATGTCTTCAAGACGTGTCTGTAATTTATGTAATGGGTTAACTTCCTCTGGATTTATGGACAGATATAGCTGAGAATCATCAGCATAACAGTGGAAATTAATCCTATGCTGTCTAATAATCATACCGACTGGGAGCATATATACATTAAAGAGAATTGGTCCTAGCACTGATCCCTGTGGTACTCCACAAGTAACCCTTAAGCATGAGGAAGATTGATCATTAACGTGAACAAACTGAAAGTGATCAGAGAGATAGGATATAAACCAGTCTAGAGCTGTTCCATTAATTCCTACAAAATATTCAAGTCTGGATCAAATGCAGCACTAAGATCTAACAGGACAAGTACAGATACAAGTCCATTATCTGAGGCCATGAGAATATCTTTAGCGTCTTTCACCAGAACTATTTCTGTGCTATGATGAGTTCTAAAGCCTTGATGAAATATTTTCTTCTAGTCATGGTTGACGATTTTTAACACTGGTTGTTAGGAAATACTGTTATTTCTTCAGATTCTATGCCATATCTCAGCATGAGTTCCAAAGTATGAAGATGAGAATGTGTGGGACTATTCACATTTTGAAAAAAGCCAATAGCATCTAAGATAGCATTAAGGGCTGCACTTAAGCTATCACCTTCAATCTAAGTGTGGATATTAACATCCCCCACCATGATGACCCTGTCAGTGTTTAATACCAAATTGGTTAGGAACTCTAAAAACTCATAAAAAAATTCAGAGTAAGGACCTGGTTGAAAATGCAAAGTTAGGGAGGGACCTTGCAATGTCTTTGGGAGGGAAACTAAGGCTTAAATGTTCATAAGAGTTAAAATTATTAAATGTCTCTGGAGTAATCAGTAAGTCAGACTGAAAAAAATGTTGCGACTCCTCCTCCTCTCCCAGCATTTCTGGTAGGGAGATTTAAATAACTAGAAGGATTTACCTCATTTATGCTCACATAATCCTCTTGCTGCAGCCAAGTTTCTGTAAGGCATCATAAGTCAATGTGATTTTTTTCAAATCATGTAATTAACTAGCAGACTTTTTGAAGAAAGAGATGTTATGTTAAATAAACCACATTTAATCGTTTTAACTTTTTCCGCAATTGGATTTATTTTAAATTTGATTAGATTATCATGATTTACTCCTTTGGGAATCTTTTCTAATTTATTCGATTTTGGTAGTGGGCAAGACATTGTTTGGCTGGAGTAATGACTGAGTAACAGTAGAAAGGCTGCAAAAAGGTGTGTCAAACTACGACTCTGCTTCCTGGTCTGCACCCTGGGTTGGCAAGGTTTTGGAGGACTAATAAATTTGGTCAGATTCCTAGATAGAGGTTGCCTTACGAACTAAAAGGCGTTCTATAGCTCACAGCAAGGACTCTAAAAAAATAAGATCAGATGATTCCGTAAAAATTCAAAAAATATCCACTGGACTTGGTTTTCAAGATTTCAAATCTTGAAAACCAAGTCCAGTGGATATTTTTTGAATTTTTACGGAATGACTATGACCTGGATGACTGAGAACCTTCATCAGCAAGATCAGATGATATTCTGCAGAAGCCATGATAGGTCTCTTACCTGCCCAGGAAGTACTTTGCTATGCATTTGGCCACTGTCATCCCTCTTTAACTTCTAGAGCTTTTTTTATTAATATTAGTAGTTTAATTTTGGCCTTTGTATATTTATATGGCCATTTGTTTTTTTAAACATAATTTCACATCAAACCCATGACACAACCAGTAGTGCATGTGGAAAAGTACAAGTTTATATTTTTGCATGGACTGCATGAAACACTTCTTATTGTCAGTTTAAAATAGAGGCATACTATCGTGAGAGAAGTCTAAAAGCCCCCAAGGTGCTGTTAAACATGGATTTTATTTGCACTGCAAATATATTAGCCATAAAGTGTGAAACAAGCACAACGTTTTAAGTCATAAAATAGGAATTACACAGGGATAATTCAGTTACATATTAACCAGTCAGGTATGATATGGATCAAAATGTCCATGCTCCTATCATAGCAATAGATAATGAGCAGGACAAAGTTCTTGATTGGTACCAGCTTGCAGCAGTGCACCATGAATGGTTAACATATTTATTGTATAATGTCTGCAAATAAAGACTAGTATATTCACTTTCCATGATGCATTTATGTAAATTTATCAACTTTTGTGTATGGTCTAGTATATTCTACGGTAATAAAGAAGAAAAACTGACCAGTCTGCCTGACAGCCAAAAACAACACAGTAAAACTGAAGAAACTTTTACCCAGTAAGCCATGGGTGCATAGGCCAAACGGGGGAGGAGCAGTGACGGCAGTGCATTTGTATCATCCTATTAATATGCAGGACACATCAACAGGCTACTGCTGATTTCATAACTGAACAAACTGGACGTGTATGCTGTTGAAGAAAAAAAAACATGGCAATTTTACTGGGAAGTTACAGTTTACCCTTTCTTGGAGTTAGCGTTTTCATCGCAGCTCTGACCTACATTACCTACAACCTGCTGAGCAGTCATCTCCATAAATGGTTCAAGATGAAATCTATTCCTGGGACAGGTTCAGCATACCCCTTTATTGGAGATGCACTGTTGTTCAAAACCAATGCAGGAGGTAGGAAAAGCACTCTTCAATTAGCAAACTCTAACGTGAATGACTATAACAAGGTGTCTTTTTTTTTTTTTTTTTTTTTTACAAACTCTCTTTTTATCTTGTTTCAGAATTTTTCAGTCAAATTGTGAACTTTACATATGAGTTCAGAGATGCACCATTGTTTAATATCTGGGTTGGACCAATTCCATTTGTTGTCCTCTTCCATGCTGAAACAGTTGAGGTATGTTCACAGAAGAATTAATTACACAGGTGCATCAGAGTAAATTAGGCAATTGTAAAAACAAAACTGAAATTTAGATATTACATATGGTGTCTTGCAAAAGCATTCAACCCCTTTGAACTTTTCGAACTTTTGCCACATTTCAGGTTTCAAATTTAATGATATAAAACAGTGTTTTTTTTGTGAAGAAACAAGTGGGACACGATCATGAAGTAGAACGAAATTTATAGGGTATTTTAAATTTTTTCAAGTCATAAAACACTGAACAGTGGGGTGTGCAATTTAATCAGCCCTTTTATTTTCAGTGCAGCAAACACTCTAGAAGTTCACTGAGGATCTTTGGATGACCCAATGTTGACCTAAATGACTGATGATGATAAGTAGAATCCACCTGTTTGTAATCAAATCTCTGTATAAATGCACCTGCTCTGTGATAGCCTCAAAAGTAATTTTAAAGTGCAGAGAGCATCATGAAGAACAAGGAGAACACCAGGAAGGTCTGAGATATTGTCGTGGAGAAGTTTAAAGCCCAATTTGGATACAAAAATATTTGACAAGCTTTAAACATCCCAAGAAGCACTGTGCAAGCAGTATTATTTAAATAGGTGTATCAGACCACTGCAAATCTATAAAGACCCAGCCATCCCTCTAAATTTCAGCTCAAACAAGGAGAACACTGATCAGAGATGCAGCCAAGAGGCCCATGATCAGTCTGGATGAATTGTAGAGATTCACAGCTGAGGTGGAAGACACTCTCAATAGAACAACATTCAGTTGTATACTGCACAAATCTGGCCTTTATGGAAGAAACCCATGTCTTAAAATTAACCTTACAATGTCATGTTTAACGTTTGCCACAAGCCACCTGGTAGACACATAAGGTACTCTGGTAGGATCAAACCAAAGTCGAACTTTTTGACAACAACGCAAAATTGTTTGGCCATTCATCTGTGAAGAGAAAACCTCCCCCAGCGTGCCAGAAACCAGCTAATGTGAGCGGTTACAATAGTCAAGCCTTGAAGTAACACCAAGATTATTTACTTTATTATCTGAAATCAGATTAATCCCATCCAAATGAAGTGACTGACTAATCAGCTTCTTTTTCAAAGAATCTGGTCCAAAGACTATAACTTCTGTGTTGTCTACATTCAGAAGCAGAAAGTTAAGAGTCATCCAGGTTTTTAGGTCTTCAAGACATTCCTGTAATCTATGTAATGGGTTAACTTCCTCTGGATTTTTGGAGAGATATAGCTAAGCATCAACAGTGTAACAGTGGAAATTAATCCCATGCTGTCTAATAATTGTACCGACTGGGAGCATATATACAGTAAAGAGAATTGGTCCTAGCACTGACCCCTGTAGTACTCCACAGGTAACCCTTGAGCATGGAGAAGATTTGTCATTAACAAGAACTGAAATCTATCTGATAGATAAGAGTTAAACCAGTCTAGAGCTGTACCTTTAATTCCTACAAAATATTCAAGTCTTTCTAAAAGAATATTAAGATCAACAGTATCAAATACAGGACTGAGATATAACAGGATAGGTACAGATATAAGTCTGTTATCTGAGGCCATGAGGATATCAATAACGACTTTCACCAGAGCTGTTTCAGTGCTATGATGAGCCCTAAAGCCAGACTGAAACTCTTCAAAAAGTTCATTATAGTGTAAGTGGTTGCACACTTGTTTGACAACTACTTTCTCAAAAATTTTAGATAAGAAAGGAAGATTGAATATAGGTCAGTAATTGACCAAGTAATTTAGGTCAAGAGACAGTTTCTTAAGTAAAGGTTTAATTACAGCAACCTTAAAAGCCTTTGGTACACACCCCTCTGACAGGGAGAGATTATTCTAATCTGAAATGGAGGATGAGATCAAAGGGAATATTTCCTTAAATAACCTGGTTTGAACTGGATCTAAAATACAAGTTAAAGGCTTAGATGAAGACAATAGTTTGACCAACTCTGAAAGTTCAACTGGACCAAAGCAGTCTAAACCCGGTTCAGATTCCATGACTACCTCAGATGCTGCCTCACCTTCCAGTGATAAACCAATCATAGAGGAGTGCTAATGATCTTATTTTTCATAAAATCATTAGTCCTCCTAAGCCTTAGGACCTAAGGAATAGACCTCACAAAATTGCTTTTTAAGCTAAATTAGAAGTAGCACAAAATACACACAATATTTATTGTCATCTACATTATGTAATACAACCATGATGCAATTAAAAGATTTGATCACAAGTACCGGTAAATGCAGTTGTTCCTTTTTTAAATAAATATTGTGGCACAAACTTTGATTTGAAAAGACACCTAAGGTCATTTGAAAAAAACAAAAAACTCATACCTGGTAAACCTTCAGTCTAACAGGTAACAGAAAACCATCAGTATCACTGCATTCATCATACAACACAAACAGGAAAACAATTCTGTGAGACTGCCAGGTGTAACAATGGGGGAGCCAGCTGGTATTTAAAGGTAGTCTGATCAACTGTGATTGTGGAAATGTTTGAATTTTAAAACATAAAATTAGTTACTGTTATTGTATTTATACAAACACAAGGTATGTTCTTAATTTAGATAAATAATAGTTACAATTAATTAGATGCTGCAAGCCTTTACATTATATTGATTTCAGCAGGCTATGAGAGGTTCTACTGTCCATTTCAATTTATTTGTTTATAGTTTTGTTATGTAGTTATGTTGTGAACAAAAGTTGTTAGAAAAAGTAAGACAAACAAGACCTTTGATCCAGTTTTGCACTGCTGATGTATGTTCAGTTGCAGTGGCAGCAACATTTACTCCCAGCTTGTTCCTTATCTAACTGCGTAACATTGTTTTAAATAGTGTCTCTCAGGCTTTCTGCCTAACTTAATCATGTTTTTCATAAAGTTTTTTAACAAATGTGGTGGATTAGTGCTACCTCTGTGAATTACAATTTTTTCTTACTCAAAATGTCATTTCTAGAAAGTTCTGAGTAACCCTGTTCACCTCGACAAGGCTTTTGCATACAAATTCCTCCATCCTTGGCTTGGAACAGGCCTTTTAACCAGGTACAGATGCTGATTTCTTTTGACTTGTATAAATCTTTTTAGCAGAAAAAATAACAGTAAAGATTTGGAAGGATATGAATATGATATCAAAATAAAAACATCTCATCAGCCTGATTTGAGATACACATTGACATTGAAAGAACAGGATTTAAAAAGCTAACCTATTTAAAAAAGCTAACCTATAAAAAAAGCTAAAGGTAGTTTCAATACATCTTATGATTTGTATTGATGTTTTTTGTATTATGATGTTTGACCAGAAAAGTTATTGCAACTCATTTAGTTTGCTTTTGAGTAAACAATGGCTGTGTTTTTTTCAGCACTGGGAAAAAATGGAGACAACGAAGAAAGATTCTGACACCGACCTTCCATTTTTCCATCCTGACTGACTTTCTGCAAGTAATGAACGAACAGGCAGAAATTCTGGTGGAAAAGCTGGAGAAGAAAGTGGGAAAAGGTTCTTTCAACTGCTTCAGTGACATCACCCTCTGTGCACTGGACATTATCTGCGGTGAGTAGATGAAGCATTTAAAAAAATTAGTCGGATCTGTAGAAAACAAACTTGAAGGGAGCTCTTGTGTATAGCCACACTGCATGATCATTCCTCTTGGTATCATGATGGAAGTAGTTCTAATTAGTTAAACTTTATGCATTCAAAACAAGAGTGTTATTTATGACTCATCTGTAACACTTTGTGATAGATGCATTGGAACTACAGGAAGGAACTTACAAAAGGGAAAATTAGGAGGGAACAGGTTTTCTGGGATCACTTGGACTTCCTGGCCCATGATGACCTGCTAACATGATTATTTTATTTTAGTGGGGAGTTTTGGCCTAGTTGTTAGAGCAGTGGGCTGCCATTCGGCTGGAGTTTGACTGGGAAGAGCCATTTTGAATGGCTGCTACTGTAGTCATCCCAGTGCAATGCTTTTGCATCTGTGTATTTGCTTGACTGGATCCAGTATTTGTGATACAAAACCAAAAAAAAGGTGGTACCCTGTTCAGTTAAAGCTGTTGACCACTCTACTCTAAAGTTCCTGAGAAACAGATCTTCCAAGTCTGAATTTACTCACAGGTATATGTTTAATGTGGGGTGCACAGTGGGAAGTGCAGCCTACCTTGCTGCAAGAAGGTTCAGGGTTTGATTTCTGGCCTGGGTTCTTTCTGCATAAAGTTTGCATGTTCTTCCTGTGTGTGCGTGGGTTCTCTTCGGGTACTCCAGCTTCCCCCCACAGTCCAAAAGCATGACTGTTGGGTTAATTTGGTTTCTCTAAATTCTCCTAAGGTGCGAGTGTGTGTGTGTGTGTGTGCATGGTTGTGTGTCTTTGAGTGTCTCTGTGATGCTGGTGCCAATTGACAGCGGGGTCAATTGGCACCAGCAACTCTCGAGACTCCAGCAGTGATAAGTGCGACGGAAAATGGAAGGTTGGAGGGTACATGTTTATTGTATTTTTATTTGTATGTATTTATTACTGTTTTCAAGGCTCCACTTTAAAAAATGAAATTGTCTAGAGCTGATTTAAACGAAATTTCTTTTTATATACACTCGTGTATACAACATGACAAAATAAATTTGTCTAAGTCCAAGTCTAAATTCTAAGTAATTAACCAATAATTAACTCTCTGCCTGATGCCATTTTTACCATTCTGCCTCTGTGAAAATCTTTCTTTGCTTTTATTTTACAGGGCTGCAGTCGTAATCATAAAATGTCAATGATTAGCTGGCTCATTTAAATAAAATTCAACATTTATTTGTATTTAATTGATTTGTTTTTAAATAATTGACCTCTTATGGTTGAAGTGGGGCATGTAGAGGGAAAGTCTTGTAAGCAAACCTTAATTGATTTATAAAGAGGAAAGGTAGCTCTTAACTTGTACCAGACTTTAATAAGAACATTTTTAATTATCAAGTAACAATTATTAACTGAATTTAATAGTGAATGTAGTCATTTAAAGCAGTTGTTTGATTTAAGCTCCAGTAAATGTGGCCAATTAAATTTTATAATTGGAATTGGTAACCTTTAATCATTAACCAAACCAGAAGAACTATCTCCATGTAATCAAGCTGTTAAGTGTTCAGCTCTGACTCTTGACCAAACAGATCACTGATAGAATGCAAGCACAGATATTTGCATTTTACCTTAGTATCTAAAGGTTATATTAAATAATATTGGCTTAGTTAAAAATTATTTCTAAATTTCTAACCAAGCCACTGAAGTAACAAATAACAAAATGGGTTTTACTTTAGTTGCACCCACCTTGGAGGTGCAGGCAAGAGTGGGTAATAGCAGGCAGTGCACCACTGGGATCTAGGTGATATGCTGATATCCTGAATTATTTAAACACTCTCGAGTTCTTTAATTTGTTTTTGCACTATTTTCAGGTAAATATATGTTGAGTAGTTTTGTAGAACATTTTTATTGTAATTTATTACACAATTTATTATGGTTTTGGGATGTATGTTTAGCATTCATATACTGCTTAATTATATTTTTCAATTCTATTCAAAAAAAGTAAAGATATGTGTGTGTGTTAGTGTGATGCTGAACTTTGCTCTCTGTGCAGAAACTGCAATGGGAAGAAAGATTTACGCACAGAGCGATTCTGAATCTGAGTATGTTAAGTGTGTATACAGGTATGCTTTTTGTTTCCTTTCAAAAAATTATATATTCAGTAGAATAATATCTGTTTAGAGGGTTGAGCACAATCTTTTACCCCCAGGATGAGTGATATTGTCAGCCACAGACAAAGAACACCCTGGTTTTGGCCTGACTTTATTTACTACTTCTTTGGTGAGGGTAAGAAGCATGACAAGACACTGAAGATCCTCCATTCTTTTACCTATAAAGTGAGTTAGCCCGGTTAAGTGGATAGTTTAAAATAAGATGCATTTTTTTATTCCTTCATGCAGAAATTGGACACTCCAATAGAAACCATAACAATCTCTATGTGCAGGTAATAAAGGAAAGGTCTGAAAACTTGTCCTACATTGAATCAGACAGCGACTCCGAAAATTTCAAGAAGAAGCGACAGGCCTTTCTAGACATGCTCCTGAAGACCACAGATGAAGATGGAAACAAGTTGACCCATCAGGACATTCAAGAGGAAGTGGACACCTTTATGTTTGAGGTTAGTGGAGAGACTTGCAGCTAAAAATAAAGATTTGTTACAACAGAAAAAAATTAACCTACACAGCTGGAAATGCACTTAACACTTCTTTTTTCAGGGTCATGACACCACGGCTGCCTCCATGAACTGGGCCCTCCATCTGATTGGAAGCCATCCAGAGGTGCAACGAAAAGTTCAGCAAGAGCTGCAGGAAGTGTTTGGTAACATTGACATGGCTCATCCTTCTCTTCTTCGTTTAATAGCTTGTTTAATATTCCAGTCCAAAGGGTTTTTACTCATCTTTATTCAGACTAATTTGCCCTCTCTTACGTTTAACAGCTATAAAACACCTTTTGCTAATATTTATTTAGTTTTTCTCATAAAACAAACAAACACATTTCACAGTTATCTGTAATAATGTACAATGCTTTCATGCTAATTTTCTTCAGTTAAGGAAAGTAAACCTTTGAGGTACTTTGAATGCAAATGTTGTATCAACTCAATGAACTAAATATGCCCTGAAGAACACAAGGCTTTATTATGCTATAATTATTTCCTGTGCACTAAAGTTTCATTTCATTCCAGTCTATAGGCACGCAGTGCTTGTAGAAACATGCTTCAGAAGACTGCCAGCTGAAGTTCTAGTGCTAGTACAAAGTACTAACTGGGAATGATGGTGGTGATAGTGGGTGGCTGTAAAGAAAATAAAATGTAGGCTCCAAAATCAAATTTGAAATTGACTAATTGATTACGTCTTATTAGACAAAAACACAGCAGGAAGTTTTTTTCTCTGCTGACCTAAACAAAGCAATTTAGTTTGTTAGATGGGCATTAAAAGAAACAAAAATAATCACTGTGTCAGTATGACATAGTTTAAGGCTTATAATACGCACAAGGTTATTTAGCGTGAATGTGTATTTAAAAAAAAAACCTTTACTAATGTTTCCTGTTTCTTGATTACTGTGCAAAGGTGCATCGGGCCGACCCATTAATACAGAAGACCTAAAGAAACTAAAATACCTGGAATGTGTCATTAAAGAAGCTCTGCGGCTGTTTCCCTCTGTGCCCTTCTTCGCCCGAAGCCTCTGTGATGACTGCAATATTAGTAAGTTACACAAGATAAGTAACCTACACAAGACAAGCAACCTTGAAGTAACCCCCGTAACAATTATTATTTGCAACTGTGTTAGCTGGATTGGGTCACTTTATCCTTTACCAATTCAATTAAGAAATATAAATAATAGACTTTAGACTTTTAGACTTTAGACTTTATTTGTCCCCAAGGGGAGATTCTTTTCCAAATACAGAGCTCGTTTAGACAAAGACATAAAAAAAGACACCACAGTGAACACCAACACCAGCAAAAGTACAAGACATGATACGAGACATGACACACTCAACGGGGCCTGTTGTTTAAAAAGGTGATGGCTGAAGGGATCAGGCTCCTGCCAAAACGGGCCCTTCTACACCTGAGTGCCCTGTACCTCCGTCCAGAGGGCAGGGGTATGAGGTAGTCCTGTAGTGGGTGAGTGGGGTCTAGTTCTATGGAGAGTGAAACACGTCCAATGGCCTGTGGGTTTGTGTCTGTGAGGTTGGGTGTGGGGAGTCCAATGATTTTAGTATAATAACAAAAACAATATTTTACCTTAAGTCTATCTAAGTGAACTAAAGGTAAAAACAGGAATCTAAGTGCCTTTTTGTCAGCTGTCTTCATCACAACAGACTTGCAGTGACCTATAATGGCAGCGGCAGCTGCACCCATCCATGTATCGATCTCTCGCTGCATTCTCCCATCCTCATGTGCAGGACCCCAAGATACTTAAACTCCTCCACTTTAAGCAGCAGAACCACGTCATATGCAAAAAGCAGGGAGAATATCCGTCCACAAACCAGACTCACTTGGGCCCTTGGCTGCACCTAGAAATCTGACTTAATGGCGGCAATGCTGACCAACCTTCTGCTCCACTTGTACAGGGACTGGATGGCCCCCAGCAAAGAGGCCCTAACTTTATTCTATTTCTTTTTCTTATTGATAACTCTAAACACACTATCACTGAAAAATAAACCTGATACTGGACTACCTCATACCCCTGCCCTCTGGACGGAGGTACAGGGCACTCAGGTGTAGAAGGGCCCGTTTTGGCAGGAGCCTGATCCCTGCAGCCATCACCTTTTTAAACAACAGGCCCCGTTGAGTGTGTCATGTCTCGTATCATGTCTTGTACTTTTGCTGGTGTTGGTGTTCACTGTGGTGTCTTTTTTTAATGTCTTTGTGTAAACGAGCTCTGTGTATGTGGAAAAGACTCTCCCCTTGGGGACAAATAAAAGTCCAAAGTCTACTGGTTAGAGCGTTACTAACCACTTTTTAACATAGCAACGGAGTAAATATTTATTAATTATTTATCATTTTTTTTTAAATATTACATCTAACTATTAACTGCTTTCTTTTAGAAGACCAGGTTCCAGACCCTATGAATTCAGAATCTTTGGAGCTTTAAACCAAAACAGTCACTGAATCCAGACCTAGAATCTGAAGTTATGAACTTTCTACATGAGTGTTCCCCTTCATATTCAGTTTGTTAAGCCACATATTCCATGAGGCGCGTAAAACTAACAGACAAATGTGCATGAAATAAGCAGAAAGATAAATAGCCAGGCTTTGTAGATGCATTTTTTCCTGAATAAAACAGGCACTTATTGAATTATTTTAAAAGCTGCTTCTGCTTTGTTTTGCTACATCAAATTTGCTCTGCTGGAAAATCTGTTAAACTAATCACTCTTTTGGATACAAATCTATCTCGTAATGAATATAAATTTGCAATGCAGCATAAAAGCCTCAAGAAGAGCTAAGAAATTGATAGAAAATTTGGAAGAATAATTTATGTTGAACATCTTATTTTTTTATTTGTTTTTTTAGGTAAAAGAGGAGGAAAGACAAATGTAACTGCATGCCACAATTTGAGTTTCTCTGCTTCATTTTCTGCTGCAGACTATTTTCTGTTATTAAAGTTTGACTATTGACTATGTTTGACTATGAGCGAATGTTGCAGATAGTCTTACAGACAGTCTCTGAAAAAATTTGGGTGTGCGTTTATTGCATTACAGTGATATAACTGATACATTTCTACTTGCAATTGGGCACTAAAGAGCAATTGTATTATCTTTAGGGAGTAGTCTTTATTACTGAGCTCTGTAGAGATAAGCAGAGCTCTGACCAGATACCTCTGGTCAAGGTAAAATAAAAATAAAAATATGAAACAACTCTCATTGTTAATACCTGCAAGTTGTTTAAGGTAAGTCTACCAGCTTTGCAAATGCAGGGACAGATATTTTTGCCCATTCGTCTGCAAATTTAGATTGTATGGAATGTTCAAAGGTATAGTGAAAGATTTTACAGAGTTTTTGAAAAGACCTGCAGTCTCCACTATCAAATGCACATGCACACCCCTGTACTTGCTCTCAAGAGGGAACTCCTATTAAATGTGTGTGAGAGCATCACGGCCCCATTTCTCTCCGTGCACGCTCTGTCTAAAAGTTGCTGTTTGCATCGCTCATACAAACTTACTTTCCAAAAGAAGATTTGCAGTTTTTCCAATATGTCATACTCACCACTGGTAAATGAAAATGGGGATGAACAAGTAGGACTAGTGTGGGGGAATGTCCAGTCTAGCGTTGTTACCGGGATTTTGGTAGTCGACGAAAATCCCGGATGATTCTGAAATTCATACATTTTTTTAGGTCTAAAACAAAGGACAAAAGAGGAAGTCTTGTCACCCTACGTAGGACAGCTTTATGTAAGTTATCACCAAGTAGATCAACAATTAGGATTAAATCTGAACTTGCACTGGGCCTAAACACTTTCATCTAAATTCATTCAACAGCAGCTCATGTCCTGCTACCATGGATTTATAACTTCTACTTTATTATAGATTTGTGATAACAGCAGTTGAATAATAGTAAAAAAATTAATAAGCGTAAGACATTAGCAAAATATTCTTTGTCACAGCTCTTGGATGTGTATATTAGATATATTTGGTGTAATCATAACTGAGCATAAAATTGTTCAGAACAGGGAAGCTTGTCTTAAATGTAATTCAAGATTAATCATTAAGCCTTAGTGGAAATTACAGCTTTTTATTTTCATAATTTTTTCTCACAGTCCAGTGTTTGAAAGCTCTAAACTTTACATCAAAATAACATTCCTCTTCAGCACCAGACTTCTCCTAGTAAAGCATTCTGCCACTGAAAGCTAGTCTGTGGCTTCTTTTGTCATGAGGGATTTTCTAGCAGTCTACAGCAATATACATACATACAGTAATGAATCGTACACTTCTCTGCTGCCACAACTCTCTCTCACTCGAGTTTGTTATTGTTGACGTGAACACGTGTAACTGAGGGACTGGTGGGGACAGTGCTCACCAATAATTTGCACATTTGTTTTGCTTTCTACTCATTTACTTTAGCCAAGAGTATCTTGGGATGGGTGCATTTGTCTGTATTCACAGCGTTTTCAGCTAGTTTTTTCTCTCTCTCTCCCGCTGCTCTTGCGTCCCACCTACCGGGGAAATGTCATTGCATATCTTTGAGCTGGGGAATAGGAGGGTTCTGACCACTTAATTTGCCACTATAAGGGTTGTCAAAAGCATCGATACTCAAAAAAGTATCAATACTGAAACGTTGTATCGGGATACAATACTCGTTTTTAAAAGTATCGATACAGTGCCACCACCAGTGGCACCTAAGCAGTCATTCATCTAAAGTGCAGAATAGAGGACAATGCACTTTCAGAACACTGTGTTTCAGTCTTTTTTTTGTAAGAGGTGCAGCTGCTGAGAATTATTTTTCTTTGTTAACTGGTTTGGCTAGTGTCATTGTTATGTGTGCAAAGCATAGCCAAGGAAGGAACACTTAATTTTGATTTTATAAGTTTTTTATCAAGCTGCTTAATATTGTTCACAGCATACAACCTCAAAATACTGTTCTTATTGTTTATTGTATTTATTTATTGGATTTTATTTATTAATGAAAATATTTCTGTTGAATTTTGGAGTCTTTGTTTTTATCCTTGTGGTATCGAAAATGGTATCGAGTATCGAATATTTTCCTTAGTATCGGTATCGAGTTGAAAAGTTTAGTATCGTGACAACCCTAGCCACTATGGGCAACCTTTTTAGAGTAATGGCGAATTGAGCAGCTAGAGGAAAGGGAGACGCTCATGCTAGCATTGCTATAGACATTAGCAAAAAATGGCAGTCATGCACTGGTAAATCTATAGTCTATTCATCTCTGATCATAAAAACAAAACATTAATATAACTATAAACCTCATAAGTCAACTGAATATGATTGAAACTGGTCCCAGGTAAAAAAGAAAAACGGCTAACAACAACACTATAATATGGAGTGCTACCTCTCAATCAGTGAGCTTTTCATTATGGTTCTGTATTTTGTGAAATGTCACCGATCTGCCTGTGTTTTGAATTTGCCGCCAGCAGAAGACCTAACTAAATATGATTGGCTGGGGAAATTCACTGGATATGTAGTAACCAAGTTATTGGAAGAGGGACAACAACGCTGAATGAAATTAAACTGGAAGCTACATTGTCTTTTAATTGGAATTAAAAGATAGATGACGGGTTGGTTAAAGAGAGGGAAGGGATCCAAAAAGCCGTTACACATACAGAACATTTTCAGCAATGAACTTTAACAGAGTAAGTTTATACTTAGCAAGTTAGAATCATAATACAGTGGATTTGTCAAAATATAGAATCTTAATGTTGTGTTCTTCTTTACCAGTTAAAAAAAAAAAGCTATACAGCTCGGTTCCTCAGAGTTACAGATAAGAATTTGTTAAAATGTAATTTTCTTATTGAAAAGAAATATATCAGACTGCAGAGGTTCTAGACATCCCCACATGAAAATATTTCCTAAATTTAAAAATTATGCTGTGGTGATGGTAACTTAGTTTCTTTAGCATCATTATATTAGTAGATATCTTCATGTTATGTTTTCAGCAGAGCACAGACACAGAAGCAGAGACAGCTGCAGAGTTAAGGATGAAACAGACTGACTGGAATATGGAACATGCGTTTATTGCTATACTGTATATTATTAGACTTCTTCATGTTATTCTTTTCAGTGATAAAAAATAAAATGAAATGGATAGCTTCTGCATTTACTTAATTTAAATACAATACCATGCAAGTTTAAGTACAGTATATTGCTCTGTGATATAACTCTGGTAGCTTAATATGTGCTGTGCGTCTGCCAGTTCATTTTTTTAACGAGTCTGAAAATAAAGTTTGAAAGTAATGCATAATCCAATTACAGTAGTGCACAGTGTGCAGACATAACTCTGATAGCCTACAGTAGGTCTATGTAACTTATTCTGTGTGCCGGCTCTGCTGTGCCACCGGTGCATTTTTTTTTTTTTACATGCTGAAAATAATGTTTGAAACCATTGGTTTCATAGAACAACAACATAGAAAATAACTGCATAGGCTACAGAAAATTAAAGCTAGCCTACCTCTGTTTTGTGTTGCAGATCTGCTGCGCCGCATTAAGAAATCACTTAACATATTTATCCATGGTTCCCTGGATCAGAGTGTTGTCCAACACAGAGTTCACTTTTTTTTTTCAAAATGATGTAAAAGTTCAAAGTTTTTGAAGTCAACATGCAGGAGGATTTTTGTCAGGACTCACTTTTAGCCATTACAAAATATAAGGGCCTTTGGGTTCTATAACTGTAGGAGCATCAGTCCCCAAACTTCAGAGATGGGAAGTAACAAAGTACAAATACTTTGTTACTGTACTCAAGTAGATTTTTCTGATATTTTTACTTTACTACTTATTTTTATGGCGACTTTTTACTTCTACTCCTTACATTTTTACACAAATATCTGTACTTTCTACTCCTTACATTTTAAAAAATTGGCTCGTTACTTTAGTTTTGAATCATTTCAATGGAGTTACCGTTATTATTATTATATACCAAATTCAATCTAATTGGATGGGAATCTACGTTGCATTTGACGCACCGCTACAAGATGAATCGACAGATTCGGCGTTACTTATTCACGGCAAATCATTGCAGCTTGGTGGCGGTGGCGTTAGCATAGCAGTATGGACGACGAGATGATTGAAAATGAACACAACGGAGATCTTGTCCTATTGGCAGACATCCATCTAAAATGTAGGCAACGGCATGAAAAAAGTGGTTTCTACTTTTACTTTTATACTTTAAGTAAATTTGTAAGCCTGTACTTTGTTACTTTTACTTGAGTAAAGAAGTTTAATCAGTACTTCCACTTTTACCAGAGTATTTTTTAACACAAGTATCTGTACTTTTACTCAAGTACGGAAATCGAGTACTTTTGCCATCTCTGCCAAACTTACAGAGTGTCCCTACCAACTTTAGTCACAAAGTTACACCCTTGGTTTCAAGCTTATGTTTTGGGTGGTTTGTGAAGTTATCCGCTTCCTTAGATATAAAATAGATCCCTAAAAAATAATCTTTGTCCTGAGGGCCGTTATATTTGTTTTCCAAAATCAAAAACTTTTTTTTAAAGAATTTGTAATATATGTACAATAAGCCAGTCCAAGTTTGAATAGTTTACATTAAATTTAGCTAATACTAAATAATTATCAATTGGCTTGGAAATAGCTTTTTAGCTTGGCAAAATTTATAAGCATGGAAAAAAATGTTAAATATATGTAACAGACCCAGGCTTTGGGCCTGTTGGTCAGATTAGCTTAGCTTTACTTTTATCTCCGTTTAGCTGAATGGTTCATACATTGCATGGTAGTGAAACATGCATATTGGCAGGCTTAGCTTCAGATTTCAACTTTCACTTAATGCTTTTTTAATAATAAGTAAACCCATATTTATCTGTCCGAATGGTATATCAACACTGGCGCCAGGAGCATTGCCTTTACTTCGTTTTTTCACACCTTTCCACATACCCGAAACTCAACAAAAATGCAGTGCTTACTGACTGATTTATAAAGTCACATTTAGCTGTGTTTCTCAACAGTACTTTCTGACCCATTTCATGTGGTTTACACTCTTTAACTAACCTGTAAAACAGGAGAATGAATGAGACAAGCTACAGGTGAAGTTTCTCCATGCCTCACTTGAAAAAGCAGAGCCTATAACCTCAATATGCCATCTCAGTGTGTAATGTGCCACCTTCTGGTGTGAGTGCGCTACTACAATTCAAACAAATTATCATTAAAATCAAACAAATAAATAATGTGAATACACATGAGTGTGTCACATTTAGCATTGCTAGCCGGTTATCCAGCAGTAAAATTCTTAACGTGTTTACAAATCATTTTGTTTAAGTTATCAGTTCTAAAGGCTGCCAAACAAAGTGACAAGGTTTTATTTATTATTTTATAACTAAGTTGTTGTACAGCTTAAAGAGTCTTAGTCAGCTTATTCAGGTAATCTATAAAATACTTACTTTGTTTCATCAGAATAAGAGCCACAAACATATACTGTATGTTTTCAAGCTAAACACAGTGATATTCATACTATAACCCTTCAACTTTTACCTGCTTCATTGGACTAATTCTGAAATAGACAGCAGGTGCTTAACTTCAGCAGGAAATAATTTAATTTAACATTGTGAAATGTTCTTATACATTTAATAATCCATGAATGTAATTGGTTTTTGCTTTTACTCTAGATGGTTTCAACGTCCCCAAAGGAGCAAATGCGATCATCATTACATACACTCTTCACCGTGATCCACGATACTTTCCAGAACCAGAGGAATTCCGGCCTGAGCGTTTTTTTCCTGAGAATTCAGTTGGAAGGCCCCCGTATGCATATGTCCCCTTCTCTGCTGGACTCCGCAACTGCATAGGTGGGAAAAGGAAATTCTGGGGTTCAATTAATCAACCTACATAAGGGTCATATGTGTTTTTTTAAATTTGTTTTGTACTCGGATTTTCAGGTCAGCGTTTTGCATTGATGGAAGAAAAAGTTCTTTTGGCATCCATTCTGCGTAACTTCAATGTCGAGGCCTGTCAGAAACGTGAGGAAATTCGCCCAGTGGGGGAACTCATCCTGCGACCAGAGCAGGGCATTTGGATCAAACTGGAAAAGAGAGAACCACTTCCTCCATAAAATCAGCATTGGCTCAATTATTAAGATTCATTTATTCATTGCATTTTTTTGTGTGTGTGTGATTTTAAATAATCCAAATAGCAGAAAATGTATCAAACAAAGATCTCTAATAGTGGAATACGAAATAACATTACTGGGTAATTTAGCTGCTCTGCCTCTAATAGTATGATAATCTAAAAAAACATATTGTATTCTAAGCAAACATTTGATTGCTTAGAATACATTTCTTTTGTATAGTTCTGCATTTTGTGGCTGGTACTGCTAATGGAATATGAGTGACTTCTTGTTATTTGACCTTGCACAAGTATTTCTTGTAATTCTGTTTGAAAATTTCTTGCATTACCAAATGTTTAAGATACAGACATGTGACATGAGTGGAACTATTTCTGAGTATTATTGGTCTGGTTTCCAGCCTTCAAATAATGCTGCATTATTACTTTTAGATAATACTTAAGAATTCTTAGTCAGATGAGCAGAATTCAGCGATGATTGGGCTGGAACAGTAGAGTAATAAGCACTGGGAAGAAACCATCCATCCATCCATTTTCTTTCACGCTTAATTCCAAGCGGGGTCGTGAGGGGTGCTGGGGCCTATCTCCAGCTGTCTGCGGGCGACAGGCGGGGTACACCCTGGACAGGTCGCCAGTCCATCGCAGGGCAGGAAGAAACCAAAGAAACTAAACTCTGTCACAGACTGGTATAGTTTCCTCTACATAAAACAAATATTTAACACTGGAAATATGCAAATATGCATAGAGGCAGACTGGCAGCCCCATACAATCCAGCCTCATTGTTTACCATGAACATGATTACAGGACTAAGGTACACATTCATCTTAAGAGATTCTGCAAAGCCAGACAGAGGGTAGCCCAGTGAGACTGTGTATGCACAAGAACTAGTGGAAGAAGCATAACTCAGGATGAAGTCAGCAATAAAATCTGAATAATGTAAAAGAGTTGCCGGAATCTAAGTGACAGCTATTCAGTAAAACAACCATGCTCAGGAGCAGGTATGCCATCTCTTGCTGAGAGATGACAAGCCCAACCCGGCAACCACCTGTCTGTTGGAGAGTCTGCAGAAATGAGCCAGGCAGAGCACGACAGGGAAAAAAAACATGTTTCTTGACACTACTTGATTAGAAAATTAGCCCACCAAGCAAAAACTGGTTTAAAAGACATTGAAAAGATGACATGATTTACGTCCAAACAATGTCTACATTTGGTTGAAAAGTGAAAGGTCATAATTTTCAGATCATTGGAAAGACGTTGCAAAGTCATTTTTAAACGTCTGTTATTGGACTAAAGTGGGACACAATCGGATAGACAAAACACATTCCAATTTTTAACAACTATTTCTGCACTAAATCAAGACTGTGATGGACCGGCCAGATTTAGCCTATAAACCAAAGTCTAAACTATGTGTGGTGTTTGGGGGGAACCCTTTAGTCTCACAAACTGCAGGCTGTTTTTCAGTTAGTGTTTAATCCAGGCAATTGCTGATGCCTCCATATGAGTCTTGTGGAGTTTCTGACATAATAAGGCAGAATCGTGTTAATTGTACTAAAGAAATCAAAGAAAAAGACAGGAATTTTCTCACACTGTAGACTGCCTTGTCTAAATTACACTTAGTTTGTTAAAACAGATATGTATGATAGTTTCTTCAACTCCAACTCTACTCTGATAAATAAACTGCAGTGGCCCTGATAGCTGCATCTTTCCGTGCTCAGGTGAACCAACAGGTATCACTAAGACATTCCATATCTTGGTGATATGGAATGTCAGGGTAACAGGTCTACAGTACTTGAGGACTATTGTCTCAGTTTTCTTTTGTTCTGTAACAAGGCAGGTTTTCCACAACCAATGGACTTTCCCTTTTATGCAGCAACTTTTTTAAACGTGAAGCAGCATTTGAACTTAGCAGGTAAACAAAAAGACCATGCCATGGTGGTAAATGGATCATCCAGAGTATGGGACATGGTAATGCTGCAATAACAATAAGCTGTATAATAAGAGGCATCATCCAGTCTAATGCAGGGTCAATTTTAAGTGAGAGACCCATTTGAATCAGATTAAAAATAATGAAACATTTTTATAAAGTAATATGATGATTGATTTTCCCATTTTCTTTCAAATTGAGCTCAGTGCATTAAAACACATATGACCTTCTTCTCAGTGGGCGAGGTAAGGTCTTCTAATTTAAGAGTTAAGAGGGATACGTTCATAAAACAATGATTATTTAACTCTGCTCAAACTTCTCAAACATGCAGTTCACTGCAACTGAAACTGATGACCAGAGAGCGGCAGCAATGTATCATTTCAGTAGTGTAGCCAGAGCAGAGAGACAATCTTGTTACCGTAGTTGTTGTTAGTATGTTGTCCACAACAAAAAAAGAAGTCTGCCTGTTTTGTTTTTGGTTAACTCGTTTAAAATCATGAAAATGTTTTGAGGGTGTGATTCTAAAACAATAAAAGAAAAGAAAAGAAAAAAAGACCACTTATTGAGTAGGGGTTTTAATGAGAGAAACCAGAGTCTTTTTTTTTTTTTTCTGAGTTATGTACATTCACTTTCATTTTTTCAGTTAATGCAACAATGCAAGAAAAGCTCATGTCAGCACCTGTCCTTTTTAACAGTTGCTTTTTCATCTTCCAGTAAAAGACCCATTGGGCAAGCAGAGTGTTTGGGAAGTGTTGGCCTAGTGGTTAGAACAGAGTGCTTGTGCTCTGAGAAGGTTGCAAGTACCTGGTTTGATCCCCAAAGCCTGCACTCTGGTTCTCTGAGCAAGACCCTTAGCAGTGCAGGGTTAAGGGTCTTGCTCAGAGAATCAGAGTGCAGGCTAGGGTTCTCTGACCCTTTCAGTTCTCAAGACCCTTAACCCTGCACTGCTCCCCGAGCGCTGCACAGTGGCAGCCCACTGCTCCCAAAAGAGGATGGGTTAAGTGCAGAGTTAATTTTTCTCCATTGTGAGATCAATAAAGTTTAATTTCTATACTTCTATTTCTATTATTTTGAAAACTATAGAGTGGCCAAGGCTATAGCCCCAAGATTGGTGTCTAAATAATATAGCAGCTTAACTGAACAAAAACTTTACAAGACCAGCATCAAACATGTTGGAAATTCAGCCGGCCCTCGTAAGGGGTTCGTGGACAAATCCTGCTGTTTATGCAGAGCTATAAGCGTTTTTGGACGTATATTGTGAGCCAGTAGGTTGCATCAGAGCGTTGGGCTGTACAGTATAAGATGCATTGTGAGCTGTGACCTTTTAAATCCTGCAGTTTCGCTGTACAGTTTGAGCTATAGCTGAGTATAACTATTGAGAATATCGCACAGTTTATGCCTGGCTTAACTTGGTGTTGACTGCATGCACCAGCCTCGTTCCAAATGGGAGGATATAAAGTTGTCTTCTAAGGTCAAGTTTTCCTGTGGTGACATCAGATGATGCAGGAGGTTCAAATGGAACATTGTGGTTAGATGCAGTGTTGTTACATTTTATTCAGTGACTGAAAACAGTACAATACAGGGGTAAGTTTACTGGCCAAGCTTGTTGTACACAGCAAGGGAATTATTTTGTTGCAGCCAGGTACACATCAGGGAAGCTAATCCTTTGTTCCTAAAGGTCCCACCTCCATTTAGCATCTGAAAGTTCTGAAAATCGAAAGGAAATGTTGAAATAGTTCTGTTTTGCAGCAACTTGGTTTTGAAGTTAGGCATTAGGCCTGACTTAGACTCTGGTCATTCTGGAGTTTCTGGTCATATTTTCCATTAGATCAATGCCTCTATAAACACCCAAATAATGTCTGTACTGTCCAGTGAGTATTAAGGAAGGGAAATGAGGATGAAGAGAGTAAAAGGAAAGTAAAAAGAGATATTTGCCGGGAATAAATAGATGAAGGAAAATGTAATATAAATCTGGAAAGAGCACAGAGTCTTAAATCTGATGGAAGGACAACTTAAAAAGTAAAAGATTAATGAGAAGACACTCTGTCCCTTGTTTCTCTCTCTTCCCAAGGCAACCTGTTAGATTATTAGCATCCAACTTTGAAGTCAACTGGCTCAACTGTCCAGTTTGAAGTTGACTTATATAGTCACCATGGCATAGAAGTAAGCACAGTTGCTTTAGTATCAATTGTATAATTGCAAAGTTCTCTACTCTGTTTACTTGTAGTTTATTTAGTATATACTAAAATTGGAGCGATACAGAGAAGATTAGCATGGTCCCTGCACAAAGATGACATTCAAATTCGTGAAGCATTCCTCATTTTGAGCTAGGACTAATGGCGCAATAGATAACGCGTCTGACTATGTTTTAGAAAAATCTAGCTTCAACTCCTGGCTAGCTTGTTTGCTTGGATGGGGAATTAGCTAAAATGGTAAAGTGCTTGCTCAGCATCATAGGGTAGCAGGATCAATGCCTGCATTCTCCATTCGACATCAATTTAAGTGACACCACATACTTTTTAAGGGTAGTGGTGGCCTAGTGGATAGGGCATTGTGCATGTAATCCAGAGGTTCTAAATTCAAGCCCCACTGCCACTCTTGTGAGTATGACCTGAGCAAGATCTTAAACCCCACACTGCTCCTCGGGCGAGGCACAATGGCAGACAAACCCCTTCCCAAGGGGATGCACTGCATGAAAAGTGGGATTTTCGTCAATATACGGCACTGTAGATTGTCGTGGAACTTCAGGTTAGCGGCAGTATACGGCAATTTGCAGGCTTCGACGAAAACTCCCGTAAATTGTCAGAAATTGACGTGGAATTTCTTAGGCAGTGTTCCCCCCATGCCTCCCCCCCATGGAATTCTAGGGGAGGCTTTAACATGTAAATGAACATGCTGTGAGCTATACAAATGCAAACCAGGGTTGCAGGGGGGGGTAAAACCCCCCCTGCAACCCTGGGTAAGAAAATCTCTGATACAAAGAGATCAGGTATAGCCTCTTACATTTTAGCTTGAATTGATTTATTTAATTAAAGTATAGAGACCAAAACAGACCTTTAGCTGACAGAGCAATACATTTAGAGCAGTAATTATTTTTTTTTTATTTGCATTTAAGATAAAAAATAAAATGTTGTCTGTCAATATGCTCAATTCACAATTACTTAAGTGGAAAAGTTTCAAGAAATGATTCTGAGATGATTCACTTTATAACATGGCGCATTATCCTGTTGGAAGTAGCCATCAGAAGATTGGTACACTGTGGTCATAAGGACATAGGTCAGCATGCTAAATTGGTTTTAAGTGGCCCAAAGTGTGGCAATAAATATCCCCCAAATAGATGGTAGAAATAGATCAGGCTCAGTATAGCCTAATTATAGACTCTTACATTTTAGCTTGAATTGATTTATTTAATTAAAGTACGCTAGATTACTGTGTATGCAAATGTTATGTAAAAAAAATACACAAAATAATTTACTTCAAAAACTTGTTTTAATCAGAATCAGTTGGCTGTAATGGTTAATTTTTTTTTTAGATTTCCACTTTTTTTTTTTTTTTTGTTATTGAATATATAAGAAAACAATAACAATCTCAAATAACAAGTCAATAACAAATATTTCAATACAAGAAGAAATATCACAACTCCTGCTTTTGAAAAATAAAATTAAATGCACAGGCTGGAACAAAGTATAAAATAAAATAAAATAAATAAAAATAAATAAAATAATAATAGTAGTTAAAGTAAATTAATCAGTGGGGACTACCAACTGAAATTCTTCAATTAACTCAAACAATTTAATTGCATTTAAATTCTGCATCTTTCTCAGACATCTTTTGAAAAGGGAAAGTTCATTTTTGAGAGCAGAGATTGGGAGGGAGCATTTTGCATAGCGACATTTATGGATATAATACTTTGTTACAATTATTAGAATATTGATTAAAAATTCCAATTTTTTTTTTCTTTAATGGATAAACCGAATTGAATGTTTTGCCAGGAAATAAAATCTAAATTTATTGTTTTAGTTTTTGGGAATATATACAAACTATGCTCTAATTTACCAATCTGTTTTTACTATAATTTAATTTGACAAACTTTTCTACATTCTTTTTTCTGTTTGGTGCGATTGCAATAGCGGGTCTTGATCTGGACGGACCGGAGGGGAGCAAAAAATAGCTCAGCTCCGTATTTTGACGGTGAAGGACGGAGAAGACGTACGTGGGCGGTGACGAGCGGAGGATGTGGAACAGCTCTCATTGATTTACATGACAGACAAGTAATACAGATAGTAGGATGGACATTTTATTAGAAATAAATCATACACTGTTCAGAATACGAAACATGGGGCTGATAGTTACATTTGTGTGGGTTCCAGCACATATTGGGGTGGAAGGAAACGAGAGGGCAGATAAAATGGCAAAAAGGGCAATTAAACATTCTATTAGTTTTATAGTTAAAATAAGTAAATCAGAAGGAAAGAGTATTATTAAAGAGAAACTTATGGAAATTTGGCAAAAAAGGTGGGATGAAGATAAAACAGGAAGATGGTTTTATAAAATTCAGAAGATGGTAGGAGAAAGAAGAAATGGAAGAAGAAATAGAAAGGATGAAAGAGTGATAACAAGGTTAAGATTTGGTCATACAGGACTTAATCATACACTTTTTAAAATACAAAAACATAAAACGGGCAAATGTGATTTCTGTGATAAATATGAAACCATAGAACATGTTATATTAGAATGTCATAAATATGAAAAAGAGAGAAGATATATGAGAAGAGAGTTTGAAGACATTAAGGAGAAGGTTAATTTATTAGATATACTGAGGAAAAATTTAGGGAGTAAACACATACAAATAATTATTCGATTTCTAAAGAAAACGAAATTATTCCATAGAATTTAATTATAGTAAGTGTGTTTGTGAGTGAAGGAATGATATACAAAGCTGTGCACAAATATGTTTATATTTTAAGTGTGAATGTGTGAATGTATGTTTAGAAGAAGTTAGGGTAGAATGTATCAGGATCAATATTTAAACCATCACGAACCACACTCCATACCAGTAAGTGGCGGTAATGCTACTAACAGTTTGTTGCCAACCGCCATAAAACTCGACAAGAAGAAGAAGAAGACAGACAAGTACTCCGTACGTGAGCGGGGCGGAGCGCTGACGGAGTATGTGGAATCTGGGGGTAAAGGAGGACAAATACACGTCCGGCTGGGTGCAGCGCCGGACGCCGGACAGTGCAATGAAAATCCGGACTGTCCGCCCTAAAGCCGGACATCTGGCCACCCTATGAGCAACTTTGCGGGATATACGAACTCGAGGAAGAGAAGACGGGTGCACAACGCCACGCTAGCGGTAAATATATGTCCGATTACTGGTAGCTATGCTAAAAGCAGCCTAGCTTAGCTAGGCAAGCTAAAGACAGCCTAGCCTAGCTAGGTAAGCTAAAAGCAGCCTAGCCTAAAGCTTTACTAAAGTGTATTTTTTGTGATTCACAGGAAGCATTATGCCGTCTTAACAACTCGGAGACTAATTGCAGGCGCTATGAACTGGCAGGGGTAAGGTTTAAAGAATATGCTTTCATTCTGCGGTAAAAGGACATGGATACGGATGGATACCGACCATAGCTGTACTTTTTTTTTTTCACAGACTACAGTCGAGGCGGTGACCTCCTATTTGCTCGGATTTGCACGATGTTGATAAAGACGACATTGTGTGTAAGTGACTTGTTTTAATGTTTTCTCCTTCCTTGTTACTGTGACTTGCGTTTGATTTTTTTTATTCATACCACTCTCATTTAATTGTTTTCCAGCTGCCTGTAAGACGTATTTTCAGACGGTACGCAGGAGCTTCAGATACACGCTGCTAGCCAGCATGCTGCGTGCGGAGGCAGCCAGGCTATCTGCTCGGAGTCGGGCCAGACGAAAGAGGGTAAGACTTTATTTGGTGACTATTTTTCGGGTGCATTGATAGATGTGTTGTGTCCATATGCAGTGCGCTGATTCATGTTTTTTTTTTTCAGCTGCTGAAGGCGAGGCAGAGTGTGCTGGCAGATGAGGAAGTGGAACTCTGGAAGTCCGCCGTCGTCGGCGGTGCCTCTGGATGGATTGTACGGTCGCCGCCATTTCGTAGGCTGGATCTCACTGAACTCTGTGTTAAGCTGCAGTCCCGGTTAGAAGCGATGTCGAAGAACAGGGCCACGCACAGTAGGCGTCTGCACATTGGACCTGCCTCGGAGGGAATGCTGCCTGTTACCTCCAACCCCGAGGAAGCAAACGGACCGTTCACGGACTTTTAATTTTTAGATACGCATGTGTTTGGATACGCGTTGTATATAGTTGTGTGTGTTTTAATAAAGCTCTTTCTTTGCATAAACAGCTTCCTGGCAAATCTTCATTTCCTGTATAAATTCATTCATGTCCTTGATGGTAGCATAATAATTGTGTAGTAGTGTAGGATAACATAAATACACAGCATATGAATGAATAAATATATGAATGAATAAATATATGAATATATATATATGAATGAATAAATATATGAATATATATATATGAATGAATAAATATATATATATGAATAAATATATATATGTAAATATATATATATGCCAACCAATCACGAGCGACTTTACTTGTTTAAAAAGAAGTGGTTCCGTCCAATACTCAGTAAGAAAATTAAAGCCTGGCGTGGCCACGTGTGGTTTTGCTGCCAATCACGAGCGATTTCATTTGTTTGAGAATAGTGGTTTCAGCCAATACTGAGAAGGTTATTCAAGCCAGACCTGGCCAGCCGCGCGGGTTTGCTGCATTCATATGCTAATTAGGGCCATTAGTACAGCTGATCGCTCTCCACATACGTCACTGTCCGTTTCCGACAATTTGTGGCACGACAAACGCGGACAAGCACGGGTTGCAAATTGTCGGAAACTGACGAAAATCAGGCAGATCTGCGGGAGTTTACGGGGGTTTACGGGGACGAAAATCTCACTTTTCATGCAGTGATGTGTTAAATGCAGAGAGTGCATTTAGTTGCTCTGTACTCATGACAATAAAAAGCAGTGCCAAAGAAGTGCTGCTAAATGCTGAGGCTACAAACTATCCAGCATAGCTAAAAGGGAGACACCCTGTGTTACTGTGAGTTATAAAATTAACCCCTTTGTAAACCGCCTCTTATTGTTGCATCGGATTAATCCAAATCCCTTTAAGTTGCTGTAGGACGAATGGATTGGACCGAAGAGGGGCCTGCAGAAACTGGACAGAGCTGAAGGCCTTACCTCCACTGAACCAAAAACAGTAACTGCATCCTTCCCCCTCCTATCCAT